GTACTACGTGTACAATCCTACTCGTCCTTCATCCTACTCGTCCTACTCATCCTAGTCATCCTACTCATCCTACTCATCATTCACATTATACTCAACCTACTAATACTACTCATCCTACTCATCCTACTCATCCTACTCATCCTACTCATCTACCAATCCTACTCATCCTACTCATCCTACTCATTCTACTCATCCTACTCATCCTACTCATCCTACTCATTCTACTCATTCTACTCATCCTACTCATCCTACTCATCCTACTCATCCTACTCATCCTACTCATCCTACTCATTCTATCTCATACTACTCATCCTACTCATCTTACTTATCCGTTATCTAAGTCATCTTTCCTACTCATCATCCTGTTTCTACTCATCCTACTCTTCCTACTCATCTACCAATCCTACTCATCCTACTCATCCTACTCATTCTACTCATCCTACTCATCCTACTCGTCCTACTCATCCTACTCATTCTATGCATCCTACTCATCCTACTCATCTTCTCATCCTACTCATCCTTCTTATTCTACTCATCCTTCTCATCCTACTCATCCTACTCATCCTACTCATCATACTCATCTTACTTATCCGTTATCTAAGTCATCTTTCCTACTCATCATACTCATCCTACTCATCCTACTGTTCCTACTCATCATACTGTTCCTACTCATCCTACTGTTCCTACTCATCATACTGTTCCTACTCATCCTACTCATCCTACTCATCCTACTCATCCTACTCATCCTACTCATCCTACTATTATTTTATCCTGCTTATTCTGTATCTCTTACTCTTGATAATCATCCAACTCAATACTCATCCTACTCATCCTACTCATCCTACTCATCCTACTCATCCATACTCATCCTACTCATCCTACTCATCCTACTCATCCTACTCATCCTACTCATCCTACTCATCCTACTCATCCTACTCATCCTACTCATCTTACTCATCCTTTTCATTCTACTAAGTGAATTTAACTAAGAATGGTTTTGTCTTAGTTTCAGAATTGTTTTTCCGTGAGAAATAAAATTGTTTTTGTTTTAATTTTCAAAATTCTACTTTTGTAATCATGTTATTATATTTTTTAATTGAAAACAGATGTTTCAAATTGTTAAATACTATCATTCCGTTTTAAATTTATGCGTAGAAGAATATTACAAAAATATTGTAGAGTCTGAAAGAGAAAGCTTCCTTTTTTTCTTTTTATGATGTGCTAAGGGAGCTTAACTTTTTTGGGTAAAAGTGTGAAATTTATCAAAAGTTTGCAAATTTTTTACCCTTCGGCTTGCTCTGTTCTTTCATAATTTGTTCTATAGGTAGTAAACAGAATATATGCTTTCTTTATAGACGCAATAAAAGTTTAAATGTAGAAATATTTCGTAAAAATGTATGTGTTATGAAGAACGTGTTTTTTTCATAAACCTGCTATATAGAAATAAGTTATTAATCAACATGTTCCTTTTCTGGTAGGAACGAAGAGTTTTTTCTTTTAAAAAACTTAGATGGATTTATTCTTCTTTCTATTAAAACTAGGGGGAAAAATTATACATCCGTTATTCTTTTTATAATTTTTCTAATATTAAGTATTTTTGTGTATTATACAATATTGCAACAAATTGCTAAGTTATTGCAATATTTCATAGAAAATTCTTATGCAAGCTGTTAGAAATATGTATTTCATTCTGACGAAACTGCTGACGTCAGAGAAAGACGTCACTATACTTACTTAAAGCTAAACTAGAATAGAACCCCGGAGGAACAGAGTTTCACACACAGGATGAGACATTAATGGCTAACTATAAATATTTAATCTGACAAACTATAGAATGAAATCTTTTAAGATATACTTTATCCTGTGGCAAAGATTAAGATTCTGTGCAGTATAAGCGCTGAAGTCTCATCTTTTGTGAATAACCCTGCAGGGTAATACATATCTATATAATATAAAGCTCTTCGAAATAGCATAGCCAACATATATAGTCAAACGGCCAGACCTAATTGGCTGAAATGTTTTAAGGGAACCCAAGGTTTAACGTAGGCTAAATAAAAATTGGATATATTATTAAGATGGAACTTTTTTTCAAATTTTGTTCAATTTTTTTTTCAAATTTCACGGGCAATGCCGGCCATTTCAGCTGGTAGTATATACATATAGTATATGTAAATACATTATATATATATATATATATGTATTTTTATTGACTATAAATTTTATTATCTTTCCTTAAGACTTCTGTAAACAACACTTTTATTTTCACACCTAAATCTTCCTTATAACTCATTTATCCATTCTGAATAATTATTTTTTATTTATATAGGGTTACCCACATAGGATTTGAGAAACGACGGAGCGGTATTTGTTGATTCTATTTCCTAACAAGTTATGCATGATTACCCAACAAGGATATAAAACTTTTAATTCAAAGATCTGATGGTTGAATTTGGTCTTTGCCAAATATACAGGGTGAGTAAAACGGCGGGATTAGCATTGTTTTACAGTTTATTTATTGTAAAACGGCGGGATTAGCATTGTTTTACAGTTTATTGTAAAAATATTTCCAGCTTTGTTGTGGAACATATTGACACAAAGTGAACCAAATGCAAAACTAGATGTTTGGAACATATTGACACAAAGTGAACCAAATGCAAAACTAGATGTTTGGAACATACTTCAATCTGTAACTATTCATATTTCATGTGTTCTTATTCATCTTTCAAGTGTTCCTATTCATCTTTCATGTGTTCCTATTCATCTTCAATCTGTTCCTATTCATCTTTCATGTGTTCCTATTCATCTTCAATCTGTTCCTATTCATATTTCATTTGTTCCTATTTATAATTCATGTGTTCCTATTCATCTTCAATCTGTTCCTATCTCTATTTAATGTGTTTCTGTTTATATTTCATGTGTTCTTATTCCTCTTTCATGCGTTCCTACTCAACCTAATTTTTACCTATTCATCGCTCATTTGATCCTATTAATCTATTCCTAATTAATCATTCATCTGAACCTTTTCCTATTCTTATTCAACCTTCATCAGTTCCTTTTAATTATAATCTAGATGTTCTTATTTTCCTTTAGCTGTTCCTTTTCATTCTTTATCTGTTCTTATTCAACCTTCATCTGTTCCTATTAATTGTTTATCTGTTCTTATTCAACCTTCATCTTTTCCTATTCATTGTTTATCTATTCTTATCCAACCTTCATCTGATGTTCGTATTCATTCTTAATCTGTTCTTAATCAACCTTCTCCTGTTCCTAGTAATTCTTTATCTGTTCTTATTCAACTTTCATGCGTTACTATTTATTCTTAATCTGTTCTTAATCAACCTTCATCTGTTCCTATTCATTCTTAATCTGTTCTTATTCAACCTTCATCTGTTCCTGTTCATTCTTAATCTGTTCTTAATCAACCTTCATCTATTCCTATTCACTCTTATCTTATTCAACCTTTATCTGTTCCAAGACGTTCTTAATCTGTTCTTATTCAACCTTTATCTATTCCAATTCATTCTTCATCTGATCTTTTTCAACTTTTATCTGTTCCTAGACGTTCTCAATCTGTTCTTAATCAACCTTCATCTGTTCCAATTCACTCTTAATCTGTTCTTATTCAACCTTCATCTGTTCCTGTTCATTCTTAATCTGTTCTTAATCAACCTTTATCTATTCCTATTCACTAATATCTTATTCAACCTTTATCTGTTCCAAGACGTTCTTAAACTGTTCTTATTCAACCTTTATCTGTTACAATTCATTCTTTATCTTTTCTTATTCAACCTCCATCTGTTCCTATTCATGCTTTGTCTGTTCTTAATCAACCTTCTTATGTTCCTGTTCATTCTTATTCAACCTTCATATGTTCCTGTTCATTCTTAATCAACCTTTATCTGGTCCTGTTCATTCTTAATCTGCTCTTCTACAACCTTCTTCTGTTCCTATTCATTCTTTTTCTGTTCTTATTCAACATTAATCTGATCCCATTCATTCTTCATCAACCTTCATATGTTCCTATTCATTCTCCATCTAGATGTTTCTGTTTATCCTTCATCTGTTCCTATTTATTCTTAATCCGTTCTTATTCAACGTTTAACTTCTATTCATTCTTAATCTAAACGTTCCTTTCATCCTTATATTTTCCTATTCATGCTTAATCTGTTCCCTTTTATTATGTCATTCAGAGTATTCCAATAAAAATGGAAATTAAGTGAAGACTTCTATTTCCTCTCTGAACCGCTTGGCATTCTTAAATAAACAAAATTCCCCTTAAAATATTTAGATAATTAATTAAGTCTTGGGAATTCCAAATTTGTTCTAACTTTTACGGATTTTTTAAATAAAAACAAATCTTCTTACGCTTTTCATTTGTTTATTCCACTTCAAAAAATAACCCTCCCATAATTTGTTTTTATAAATTTCTAGACAGCTATTTGTTACATTATCTTTATTTTTAATTTGTAATAATTTAGGTCATTTTCTGTACTGAAGAGGATATAAAATATATCGAAATTAATTTCCAAACCCGAGTTTTTCTACCTGCGAGAGTAAAACCTTTTTTTTGCCCGTTTAGACAATTTACATTCTTTCAATTATCCCGTAAATTTTGAATATGCAAGGCAGATTTTCTAAAACTTCCGTCTATACTTTTATAAGCTCTTTAAACATTCAATAACTGGCGGAAATTAATGCGGCTGCAATTAGTCTTTTAATTCCCATGTTTATTGGAACACCCTGGGCATCCATGTTTTCACTGATCTCATTACATTAACTAGAAAAACTGAAAGCACTCTCATAACACACAACGATAGAAATGTTCAGACTTATAGACAGGGCTTTGAAAAGAAACTTAAAAATAGTTTTGAACTTAAATATTAACAAGATTAAAATATCAAATCTGACATAATCATTTTGAATAGTTCTAAGTGAACAATCATTGTTTACGCTTTAAAATCACTCACAAAACACTCGGAACAAAATAAATAACATTTAAGTACACAAGATTAAATCTATAATTTATCAAACAAATATACGAACTACAAAGTTACTATTTAAGACAAATAGCGCAACACAGCATCAAGTTTCGTTTGAAGCATTAAATATGAAACTTTTTCGTCTTTTTTAATTCATTTTCTTCGTTTTTTGTAACAAGACATTTAGAGATACCAGGAAGTCCCAGCTGAAGGGGTTGAGGTTGTTCAGGGAGGATAAATGGGGACTTCCTGGGCGTCCAGAATACTCATACTTATATAGGTACATTAACTCAGGTTTAAGTAGAATTCTATCCAAAAATGGTTAAATCGTGTCGTTTTATCACAGACCATACTTTTCATCATGTGTGCATTAAACATGGCTTGACTAAAAGGATACTTCCCAATACATAGAATAACTTAAAATTTGTATCAACAAAATGCATGGACAATATCTCGGCTGATGGTAATGAAAGACTAAGTAACTTGGCAAATAGTTCGAATCGCTGAGTTTACGAAGTTAATGGTTTCGAACAGGTGATGTTGCAATCGAGACATGTAGCTCCGACAACTCCATACACACAGTCTCATCAAACAGCTCCCTGTGGATCTTTGAGGGAGTAGATGTGGAGTTTGGAGCTCCTGCTCCCAGTCCGCAAATATATCCGTTATACTTCATATCATCCAGTCCTTCACTAAAGTAATCATGGTACATCTTGAAGAAGACCTCCCCTGTGAGCAGGGAGTCTGACCCTGCTTGATGCTGGGAACCAATTCGTTTCACACGGAGCTCGTTCGCTACCTTCTGCAAACCACCGTTGAGATTATCAGTAGATGCCATGAGGTATTTAATGTCATACATGTTAGGGAAATACAGTCGTAGGGTTTCTAAAAACTCAGTCTCAGATTCTGGAAGCTGCTGGCAGGTTAACTGGCTGAGTAGGTACCCGAAGTCATAAGCACTGTGGAAGGTTAACCAGGTTACATTATCCATGAGAACAAGTCCAGAGCTTAACAACATCTCGGCAAAGGCAACGGGTTCAATCCCCTCTGTGGAATGTTGCTCGAACTGTATTCCTGAATTCACCAGAAGATCAATGGAATCCTCCGCGTACAGATCGTCATTAAGAGAAAATTTAAAGTTAAATTGCCAGGTACACACACCAGGGGGCCGATTACCCTCTCCGTCAAACAGGGTCATACCCAACTGGATCATTTTTAATAGATCTACATTGCATTTGACTAGTTGATACTTGTACTCGTCCATTGTGGAAAAATTTCCGATGGGCTTGGCGACAATACCCGGAAATTCTGTGTCCATGGCGACAAATGGATAATCGCCAACAAGTCGACATATTTGCGAGAACGCGTCGTAAAGGTTGTAATTCCAGACTTCTCGGATTTCTGGAACAATAATGCTGAGATCTAGATCCTTATCACTACACTCTCCCGTCGATATGGCATCCTCGTTTTCTGACGAGGACTCACTATCGTATTCAGAAATTGTTTGGTTTTTTCTCTTGTCCAAGATTTGAATCGTCTCCTCCTCGTCGCTTTCTATCACATTAGATTTCACCATAATTGGGTCTTTATAGTCAAGCAGCATTTCAGCGTTGTCCTCTCTTGGCAGAGGTCTTCTTTGTTCTGTCCCCTTCTCCCCAGTTTTGTGGTCTAACATCGTCTTATTGGATGAAAACTGAAACTCGGGTTCTCATTGGTCAATAGGTAATCAGCTGGGAAGGTGAAGGGAACTTACAACACGGAGTTATTTGCCAAGATTTATTTTTATCACGTTGTCAAACAATATGTTCATCCTATATTAACATTTTGATATTTGTGATCTTCAGCTCATCAAAATTACTGATCGAAATTACTATATTTGAAAACATTTGAAATGTCTCAATTTAGATTTGTAAGATTTATAAACCACTGGCCATATTAATTAGTCGAAATTCATATTGATGTGCGTTATATTCTAATTTTTTTGTTTTGCAGAACAATATCCCATCCTAATATTACCGAATAAAAATAATAAGCCAAAAATTTACTTAGTAAATTTTTTATTGTTTGTGTTTTCCGCGTAAAAATTTGCAAGTTCCCTGATATGTGCGTCAATGCTTGGGCTGGGCTGCCAGCCTATCCCCTCCCCCAAGCAGCTTCACAACTTAACCTTCCTCCCCCCGTCAAAATGGGCCGTTGGTGGGGGGAGGGGATGCCACTGAAAAGGGAGGGAGAGTATAAATGCGTAAAAGTTGACACTACAACTTCTAAAATAGTAAATTTTCAAAGAACAAACTCTCAGTCTAACAAAAAATAATTAAGCAGAGTATAAAATATACCAATCATGAATTATATTACACTTTGAAGTCAATTGATAATCGTAACTCGTAGAATATAACCAATTGCACTAGATCTAATTTTCATATCATCGCGTACGGATCAAAAACTGCAGGAATTCCGCGGAATATATATATTTTTAATTAAATTATTCCAAAAAGGTTGTTTTTAAATTTTTTTTAATAAAAAAAAATTCAAAATGTTTCAAATGTATTAATAAATCTGTGGATTCAACATAATTTTCAAACCAACTACGGATAGATAAAAAGACGAAAAGGCCTTAGAATATGAAAACAGAAATTAAAAGAAATATGAATATAGACATGTCTGAATAAAGAGATGAAACGAGATATCAATAGAGAGATGTGAATAATGTATGTTGAGATGAGCAATGAGATTAAAAAAAATGCAGAAGATAACGATAAATAGGGATATTAATATATATATATATATATATATATGATCACACATTCTAGATAGATACATAGATGGATGCATATGGAACGAAAGAAAAGACATATGAATAAAAAAACAGATTTGAATATATATATATATATATTTTAGACAAATGAATAGATAAATAAACAGATATGAAAATATATATATTTTAGTTAAATGACAGAATAGATAAATAAACAGATATGAATATATATATATATATATTAGACAAATGAATAGATGAATAAACAGACCAATGAATAGATAAATAAACAGATCAATGGATAGATGAATTAACAGACCAATGGATAGATAAATAAACAGACCAATGAATACATGAATAAACAGACCAATGGATAGATGAATTGCATGCTCTACGACTACGAATAGATAGATAATTATAAAAATATTTCTATGTGTACTTTATTTCTCATGGTAAGCACGTCTCTGGCTTAAGGCCAATACAGTGCAGTCATGCTTCAGCCTAACCAAGCCTTACTGCATTTTCTAACCAGGCCATAAATAGATCGAAATATAGCAAGATAGATAGAATGAATTTAAGAACAAACAGACAGATAGAAGTATAAATAGCTAGTATATAGATATATATGCAGATAAGTAGGGTATACATGGAGGGGGACAATAGTCCTCTTGCCCCCCCCCCCCCCCCCCCCCCCCCCCGAGCATCTCAAGGTTAAAATCAGGTGTGGTGGGCAAAAAAAGAGCTTGCCCTAATCTGCAGTTTATTTTCAAATTTAACTTTATTTTTTCCCTTTTATCTAAAATCGCTACAGTTACTTGATAAACAATTATAGTTATGTAACAAATGCCTTACTCCAATAATACTTTAGTCTGTATCAATCAAGAAACAATTCTCTCTGTATTCTTAAGTATGTATCAATATAGATACAACTCGCTCTCAAACTCGAAAGTATGTATTTATCGACACACAAAGCTATAGGACTCTATAGTCTCTACCAAGCAATATTATATATAATATAGTTTTTTTTTTATATATAACTATAACAGATATATTAATAGATAAAAAGTTAGATAGATGATAAATAACTAGATAGATGATATATAGATACATAGATAGATACTAGATAGTCCATGGGGGTTCAAACGATTTGTCTCTGTGTCCAGGGGTTCGAACGATGATTAGTGCAGGAAGTGCTTAGGATCCATTTAATTTTGATACGGATCCGGATCCTGAATCCGACCTGAAAAGAAATGGATCCGGATCGAGGTCATAAACATTTCTTTAAGTTAAACTGTTTTTTTTAACAAAAAAAAATTAGCTTAAAATAATTTTTCTTCTTTTTCGTTTTTTTTTTCTGTAACTCCATGAACGGGCGCATTTCAATGTTTTCATTTACTTCACACAATTACGACGGTAAAATGCGTCAAGATTCAGCAGTGATTAGATTTCAAAATGCGTCAAGATTCAGCAGTGATTAGATTTCAAAATACAGCAATCAAACTTTAATCGGACAATATCATCTCACGTTACAAACATGAAATCGTCATTCGTTCGTGATTTAGAATTAGAAACACCCTTTTATGAAAAATGTAAAACACAAAGAGAAAAAATATTTTACATCATGTCACAAAATTTTTTAATTTACGTAGATTTTAGATGTATGATGGTATGATGATACAAAATTTATGTATATTTTTTAAAAATGGTAAAATTACCATTATTAAAAATGTGTTAACGCTAGTGGGTATGTTTTTTGTGGATATTTTTCAACAATTTTGTTATTTTATTTCTATTTCGTAAACCTGTTTCCACTAAACAATGAAACGCAAGATGAACATTACGTAGATTCTTTGTCCACATAAAACACAGTATACTCTGTATACAACTTTATATAATTAAACCCAACCAAGACTAGAGAATAATCCAGAGAGCGCAATCTCTTTTAAATCGTTGCATCCATTCCTTTCATTCCTTTGCTATTCCTTCCCATATATAAATGTAATTCATTCTTCTCATAGTCTTTCACATTTTATTTAGTCCTTTTGTTCTACCTATATTTACCTATATTTACCTGTATTTACCTATATTTACCTATATTTACCTATATTTACCTATATTTAAAGCTGGTGGCATAGATACTTTTCCTCCCATATCCTGCCTTCCTACTCTCAGTAAAATTCTTGAAAAAATTGTTGTTTCTCAACTAAATAATTACCTAAACCTTAATTATATCATTTATAAGTATCAATTTGGATTTCAATCTACACTTTCTACTTTACAACCTCTCATGCATATCCTGAAATTTATAACTGAAGCTCTGAATGAGAACGATTTTGCAGTTGCCATTTTTCTGGATCTACAAAAAGCGTTCGACTTAGTTAATCATGATATTCTGCTTCTAAAACTTGAAAAGATAGGCATTCGCGGGATACATCTTAAATGGTTTGAGAGTTATTTAAAGAACAGGAAGCAAGTTGTTATGGTTAACGGAGTTTTATCTGAATTCTACTGCAGTATTATCATGTCTGTTCTTCAAGGTTCAATCCTGGGTCCTATTCTATTTTTACTTTTCATCAATGATATGCCTTTATCTAATTCATTACTCAATATACTATTCGCAGATGATACAACTGGTTTAGTTAGAGGTCCCAATATTGCTGACCTAGCTTCTGTTATAAACCTTGAATTGCAAAAAATGGGAACCTGGCTTAGAGCTAATAAACTTTCAATTAATGCTTCTAAAACTAAAATAATGGTCTTCCATCCAAAGAACAAGTTCGTTCCTGATGTAGATTTTTTCTTCAATAATAATGACATCGGTAAATCTGGAAATCCTGATCTTATTTATCCAATTGAACGTATTCTAAACTCGTCTAAAGTTCCTGCATACAAAGTTCTTGGTGTGTATATTGACGAAAACTTGTCATTTGATTTTCATATCAGCCAATTAATCTCTAAACTTAATCGGTCTCTCTACATGATAAGAAACGCTAAAAACTTTCTCTCTCTCTCAGGTTTAAAATCTTTATACTATGCTCTTTTCCATCCTCACTTACTTTACTGTCTACCTGTCTATAGTTGTACTAGTAGCAAGATTCTTAACTTGATCCGTATTAAACAAAAGCAAGCTGTGAGAATTATCTGCAATGCTAAATATAACGCCCATACTGAACCCTTGTTCTTTAAGCTTAATATTCTGCCCCTTGATGATCTTATTTTACAGCAAAATATGATTTTTATGTTTTCTTATGATAGAAATATCTTACCAGGATTATTTTTTACAAAACTCTGAACGAGGGTTGAATCCAGGACTTAGAAATGCTGATGATTATTTTGTACCCGGAGTCAGATCTGAATTTCTTAGAAGATTCCTTTTTGTATCTGTTCCTTCTGCATGGAATAATTTTCCTGTGGTAATTAAGCAGTTCGAATCTAAAAATATTTTTAAATCTGCCTCTAAATCTAAAGCCTATCTTATTGATAAATTACAGGGGTTCACTTGTGAAAGGCTATTGTGTCCTTGTTTTTTAAACACTAGTTAAGTAGATTTTAAAATTCCAACCTTTCATGTATGTACATCTCTTTCTTCACCTAAACTTAAAAACTTGAATATAATCTTCGTGCAATAAATATTTGATTTGATTTGATTTGATTGATTTTCCCTTTCCTTAAATTCTTTCACCATGCAATCCTTTCCCCTTTCATGCAATCCTTTTCCCTTTCATTTAATCCTTTCCCCTTTCATGCAATCCTTTTCACTTTCATTTAATCCTTTCACTTTTCATGCAATCCTTTTCCCTTTCATTTTATCCTTTCCCCTTTCATTGAGTCAATGTCCACTTTATTCAATCCATTCTTTATATTCATGATCCATATTCCATACATTCAATTCCTTCTTCTTTTGTTTAATCCATTCTTCTTGCATTCAACCCCTTCTTCTTTTATATACAATCTCCTTTTATTCAATCTATTCTTTTTCATTCAATAATTCTTCTTTCATTCAATTCTTTTTCCTATCATTCAATACATTCCTCATTTAGTAAATACCCTACTCCAGAATGTTTTCTTTAACCTGTTTCTGTCCAGGTATAATCCAGTTTCACTTATCTATTAATGTCTAAAACCGGATACAATCAGGTTAACTATCAATGTCAACCAGGACTCAAACTCTTAATCGATCAACGCCGCTTGCACTGGGCACGATCTCGTACACTATCAATGTCTCAACTGGGAAACGATCTTGAGCTATCAATGCTTCAACTAGGACTCGATCTCGTAAACTATCAATGTCTCAACTAGGACACGATCTTGAGCTATCAATGCCTCAACTAGGACACGATCTCGTAAACTATCAATGTCTCAACTAGAACACGATCTTCACGACTACTTTGGCGAGGACTATCAATGTCTCAACTAGGACACGATCCTCAACCTTTTTATCAAAACAGGGAACGATTACGGAGTTACTATATCAACAAATCCACTCTTCTTTCATTCAATCCATTCTTCTTTCATTCAAACCATTCTTCTTTCATTCAATCCATTCTTCTTTCATTGTATCCATTCTTCTTTCATTGTGTCCATTCTTCTTTCATTCAATCCATTCTTCTTTCATTGTATCCATTCTTCTTTCATTGAATCCATTCTTCTTTCATTGAATCCATTCTTCTTTCATTGTATCCATTCTTCTTTCATTCAATCCATTCTTCTTTCATTGCATCCATTCTTCTTTCATTGAATCCATTCTTCTTTCATTCAATCCATTCTTCTTTCATTGTATCCATTCTTCTTTCATTGTATCCATTCTTCCTTCATTGAATCCATTCTTCTTTCATTCAATCCATTCTTTTTCATTGAATCCATTCTTCTTTCATTCAATCCATTCTTTTTCATTTAATCCACACTTCTTTCATTTATTCCATTCTTCTTTCATTGTATCCATTCTTCTTTCATTCAATCCATTCTTCTTTCATTCAATCCATTCTTCTTTCATTTCATACATTTTTCTTTCATTCAATCCATTCTTCTTTCATTCAATCCATTCTTTTTCATTTAATCCACTCTTTTTTCATTTATTCCATTCTTCTTTCATTTATTCCATTCTTCTTTCATTAAAATCATTCTTCTGTCATTCATTTCATTCTTCTTTTATACAATCAATTCTTCTTTCATTCCATCCATTCTTCTTTCATTTCATACATTTTTCTTTCATTATATCCATTCTTCTCTCATTCAATCCATTTTTCTTTCATTAAATCATGCATTGATCTTATATACAAACTTTTCTCCCTTTATTAAATCAAAGCCGCCAATGTTCCAAGTAAATTGTCTCTCTGCTGAGTATACTGGGTAAAGTGGGTGAATACTAGGTATCTATGGTTTTCTGGCTTTCATTCCAAATATTATATAGTTTGTATACAGTATACAGTGCAACTGTTTAGTGAACTTAATATATCAGCTTAATCTAGCTGATATCCTGTTACTAGGATTTTATGTAGGTGTAAAGTTGTGAATATGAAATTGAAGGAATTGATTAAAAATAATATAAAAGAATAAAAGAAGAATGGAAGAAGGAATATTAAAGAGAGGAAAAATGGAAGGATGAATATTAAAGAGAAGAAGAATGGAAGTAGGAATATTAAAGAGAAGAAGAATGGAAGGAGGAATATTAAAGAGAGGAAGAATGGAAGAAGGAATATTAAAGGGAAGAAGAATGGAAGAAGGAATATTAAAAAGAAGAAGAATGGAAGAAGGAATATTAAAGAGAAGAAGAATGGAATAAAGGGATATTAAAAACAGAAGGAGGAAAAATGCATTCTGCAGCACCACAGAATCATGCAAATTCAATTATTTATTATAAATTGAAAAATAATGATCATAATGAGTTTTATTCTTATTATTATTTTATCTATTATCTTGCAGTGAGCACTTGCATAGGGTGTACACCAAACCAAATCTTCCGTTTCAAAATTGGTAATTCCAACATTATCCAGAAATATGAACAATCCCTTTTTTCAGAAAACTTAAAGATTGCTACCGCGGTGGAGCAGGTTTGTAAATAAGTTATTTTTAAATCAGCAATTATTTCCAAACAATTTGTTAATTGAGCGATAATTTTCAAAAAAAAATCCTAATTAAAAAAGATTTTTTTTTGTATACAACAATTTTCATTTAATCCCGCCCCTTTTAAAAATAATAATAAATGATAAAAATAATTTGTAATTTTTTACTTAAGGAATGTCATTTACTCCCAGACAAATTAGAATCAATGGAAATTTAAACCCCCGAGGGATTCAATGATACGTTTTTACAATAAAAAGTCCAAAATCCAAATCCAAAACCAAATCATACAAATGTAATGATAATGAAAAAATGTGTTGATTAAAATATTTCTACTTTGAAATTAAATATGTCGAATCATCATTTCGACTAAACTTCGTATTTATATATATAGAAAATCATTTAAATAAAAAAAATCAAATATTTTAACTATTACTTTTGTGTCATCAAAATATCTTAAATTTGGTTATGAAAAGTTCAACATATGAGGCTATTTCAAATTTATTTATTTTTACTCAATATTTAAATACAGTGCGTATCATAAATTTATTTTTTCTCAACTTCTTGATTTAATAAACACATACACATTGCACACCATGCACATGATTGCATACACATTGCACCATGCACATGATTGCATACACATTGCACCATGCACATGATTGCATACACATTGCACACTGCACATGATTACATACACATTACACACTGCACATGATTGCATACACATTGCACACTGCATATGATTACATACACATTGCACACTGCATATGATTGCATACACATTGCACACTGCACATGATTGCATACACATTGCACACTGCACATGATTGCATACACATTGCACACTGCATATGATTACATACACATTGCACCATGCACATGGTTGCATACACATTGCAAACTGCACATCATTGCATACACATTGCAAACTGCATATGATTGCATACACATTGCACACTGCATATGATTACATACACATTGCACCATGCACATGGTTGCATACACATTGCACACTGCACATGATTGCATACATTTTCAATCAAGTTGCAAAAATATAATGATTATAAAGTTTGATAAAAGTATCCATTTCAGATTCTTGTGACGATTTAAAAAAAATTATATTTTTATAGTGTGAGGTGGGGAGGAGCTTGGGAGGAGGGGCAGAGATGAGAGAAAGGTAAAATGGCGGATAAACTGGTTATACAAAGACGACTTTTAGAAAAAACATTTTTATAACAGACCACTGAATTTAATTCTTTTAAACAAATGTTCAAGTTATAATTCACATTAATATTAAATTAAAACAGCATTCAGTAGAAATTAGATTTTATTTCAGATAGTTTTCTTGTCCCACTTTTTATGCCTTTTACTTATCTATATAATAAAACAAGACATTTGATATATATATAAACAAGACATATGTTGCGTAAAGCCGGCAAAACGGCTGGACCGATTGGGCTGAAATTTTTTTGTGGAGATTCATGGGTGGCCGGGAAGTTATAGGCTATAAAATTCAAAAAAAAAATTTTAAAATTTTTGTTGAATATTTTTTTTCCACGGGCAACGCCGGGTTCTTCATCTATGTAATATCACATTCAACTAAAATTTTAATTTAAAATTTTATTTAAGTTCAATTTAAGATGTATGATTAAAATCTATATAGCTCCTCTTTTTATTTAATTTAAGAGAAATTGAGATAAACTAAAATATTTGTTGTGAATTTCTAATATGAAACCGGATAAATTAGCTTTTTCTCATTCTTGTGTGCAAAATCAAAGCTAAAGGATCTACAATGTCACAAAGTTGTACTAGTATATATTCAACCTTCTCCCACTGCGCTGTTTATAGTATGCACTGATATCCCTTTTGATATAAAGAACATTAAAATAACATAATATCCCGCCATGGCAGTAAATAATGAAGAAATAATAATTAAAAGTTATTTCAATGAAAACAATCTTTTTTGTAAATTAGAAATGGCGAAACATCAACAAAATATGAGATGATCGAGAACTCACCTCCTCCCACCAGCATGGAAAATCAGATTTATTTTCATTTTCTAATAATATGCATTTTTCTTCAGATTTTAAAAACAAAGAATAATATTACCAATTAAAAATTGAATTCTAAAATCTGAATTTTGACCGAAACAGGAAGAACCAAAGGTAATCATTAAAAATCAAAAATTTCTAAAAGAATATTCCGACAAAGGCAAGCAAATATGTTAAAGCAAACATGTTCAAGCAAACATGTTAAAGCAAACATGTTAAAGCAAACATGTTAAAGCAAACATGTAAAAGCAAACATGAAGCAAAAATTAGTTTACTCTTTGCAATTTTTTTTTCAAAATCTTAACAATCCCTTCAGGGGAAAACCTAAAAAATCTAGGAACCTTATAGGGCGGAAAATTTAATACATAACTCATTATGTCAGGTTTATAGGTTGACGCCCTTTAATTCAACCTTATAAAGTATTTTGCTTTTGTATTGTTAATGTTATATTGTTATGTTTTACTTTTATTTCTGATATAATTTGTTTGATTAGGGGAAAATATACACAACAGGGGTTCCAGGAAAAGCTGTTGGACACAGAAAACTAATGAGAAAAAATAGTAGACCTAAGGTATAGAATAGTGGACCTAAGGTATAGAATAGTAGACCTAAGGTATAGAATAGTAGACCTAAGGTATAGAATAATAGACCTAAGGTATAGAATATTAGACCTAAGGTATAGAAAAGTAGACCTAAGGTATAGAATCGTAGACCTTAGGTATAGAATAGTATACCTAAGGTATAGAATAGAAGACCTAAGGTATAGAATAGTAGACCTAAGTTATAGAATAGTAGACCTAAGGTATAGAATAGTAGACCTAAGGTATAGAATAGAAGACCTAAGGTATAGAATAGTAGACCTAAGGTATAGAATAGTAGACCCAATACTCATATTGTGCTTGGCTCAATTTACTTAATCAGTAATTTAATAAGTTGCTAGTAAAAGTATTTGCTTTGTAACCACATCAAATACAATTAATACTAGCTTTAATGTCGTCTTCCTATTCTACATTTTTCTGGTTATTTCTATAAGTAAACCCAGGTTGTAAAACAATAGACCTAAGTTTCATACAACATAGAAGATCTTAGTGAACATAATTCTTGTGAATTCATGAATTTTTAGACACGGAAATATAATTTTTTTATCAGAGTTTGGGCCTTCGAGACTCTACATCTGGTAATATTGATGTTCGGAACAGGAAAATTTCAATGAAGGTTAAATATATTTTGATTAAAAGGGGCTTCAATTAGAAGATTTTATCTTAAAGTAGGAAAGTTTTATATTTCAAAATCATATTTTTTTACAGTTTTATTTTCTTCTTCAGAAATATATATAACACCTCCGAAAGCTGGTCATAAATTGACCCCCCCCCCCTCTACGTCATACAGTCGTCATCGTATATATTAATACAATGAAGATGAGTTCCGATTTAATTTTTGATTTCTACCAAGCCTTCAAACAGCATGGAAGCCTCGAGTAGCTGCCAATTACCAGATTCTCATTTTTTACTTGTAAAATTGTAATTTGAAAATAGCTTGTTTGAAATCAAAATTTAAATATAAAGGTCGTCTTCATTGCAGTGATATAAACGCCGACTACTGTAACTGAACAACCCCGACCTTATCCACTTTATCTGAGGCCAGAGGCCGAATTTAAAGAATTTAAGTCGCGGCTTAAATCCGCCAAAACCCGGTTTAAATTGAAACATTTGATACAATTTTAAGTGAAACCAATCATAATTAAGCCGCGGCTTAAATTTAAACCACGGCTCAAATTCTTAAAATTCGGCCACGGAGCTTTTAAACCTTTAAAAAATATACCCGATTTTTTGTTGGTTCGGCGGGTTAATCCCTAGATAGTCATGTCGAATCTTAATTAAGCCAAGAAAGCTCAAATTGATCAATTCTGGTCTAATACTAAAAATATTTCTAAATAAAATTACATTTAGCCCTTGGGTTTATTTCTTGATTAATTTAGACATATTAATATTTTATTTAAAACCTTAATTTTCAGGCAAAACTTGGTGCTTTTTAAATAAAAGTAAAAAAGAATTGAGTTTTTGTCAGGAACTCTGATTTTCTAATCTTTGTAACCCAATTTTGCAGACCTTTGATAATTCAAACTATAAATTTTGTTAGATCAAATCGTTAAGTTTAAAATATTAACCACTAGGTTGAAAATTTGATTTTATTGCAAAAACTAAATTGCTTTGAGATGAATTTCTGAATGTTTATTCAGGATATAAAACAAATCCTACCAACCTTTCTTATTCTACTCTTTACTCTGGTTGTCAGTCTTACCGTCATTCCATACGCATTCTCTACTGTCATTAGGTAACCTTTTAAAATAATTAGAATACTATTTGTAAAAAATTATTTTGTTATTTTACCAGTCAATTGAAAGCAGTTGAGGAGCTTGAAGCATGGCAAGCAATGAAGGCAATGAACAACTCAAATTGTTCATCAACAAATGAAGAATCTTGAAGACTAAACAGCTTTCATAATTTAAAAAATTATATATTTTAAAATAGTGCTTTAACCCTTTCGCACCCAAGAGGCCATTAATATAGTAGAAATATATAGTAACAGTGTCAGAATTTAATGAATTTGAGCGACTTCTCAAATCCCACAAAAACCGGTTTCAATTGAGCGCCGGCTTAAATCTTGAAAAATTGAATACAATTTTAAGTGGAACCAACCATATTTGAGCCCCGGCTTAAATTTAAGCCGCGGCTCAAATTCTTTAAATTCTAACTCAGGAAAGCCAAAAATTATTTTTTAGTCAAGAACAGGTTCTAGAAAACCCTAAAATGGGAAATTCTGCAACACTGGCCAAAAATAACTTTCTGGACACTAACATCCTTTTCTTCCTCGGTGCAAGAGGGTTAAATCACTCAAAACGAACTTTAAAAAATCAATTAAGCATTCCTCAAAAAACAAATGAATTTTAGTAGAAGTTAAAATGATACTTGTGGTATAGACCCAAATCTTATATTTTACATTCATCTTTTATCAATCTAACGTTAATATTTTTAGGTCAATTTAATATTTCTTCAACTGCAGTTTATGCCAAAACTTCGGAGACATCAAAAATTTTTTTAAAATGTCGATTTGAGAACACTTTAATGGCTTTTATACTATTTAAATCTCTGTTATTGTCAAAATAAATAAGTAGTCATGAAATATTCAGGATTAGTTTAAAGAGCTCCATATAATTATCTAAGTAAACAACTAAATATCTGCAGCATTTCAATATCATTAGGTTCAGAAAACGACATACTATAAATTCTTTTGATACTCCGAACTAGGTAAAACTAAGTATGTCCGGCCGCAGTTTAAGGTAGGACCTGACATCTTAAATCCAATAAACATCTTAAAATAAACCTTATATAATAAATAAAATGTCAAATAAAACTGTAAAAAATAGAAGTTATGTAAAATCTACAACACTATGGAACCTGACCTAAAGGAATCCGACCTATCGAAAAGTTTGGAGTAAATATTTGTAGAAAATATAGCGTAGTTTGTTAAAAATAGTGTAGAAAATATCGAGCAGTTTGTAGAAAATATCGAATAGTTTGAAAAAAATATCAAGTAGTTTGAAAAAAATATCGAGTAGTTTGTAGAAAATATCGAGTAATCCCCGTGCATTTTACCGATTTTAATCGACTCCCCATTATCACTACGTCACGTGGATTTGACGGTTTTGTCAATATTTCAGTAAACTGTGACATCATTTTTTAGCCTTTTTTCTTAAATACTTTTTTGCCGGCAAATACATTTTGAATAAAAAGTATATGCCAAACAAATCCGTAAGGTAAAAGATTGTTAAATTATAAACCAAAACGCGTATGATTTCAAATAGAAGAAACCGAATGCCTCTAACTCTGGTTAGTCCGGTGTGACGTATAACCCAAACCCGACTTCACCTATCTTAAATTTTAACCTACCCTTTTAAAAAATCTGATACAATTAATTAGGTCGGAAAACCCCTTGGTCGGATGAGCGGGTATTATATCTACATTTAAAATGTGGGATCGCGAAGTAATGGCTTAAACTCACTCATCTCATCTAAATAGCCGTTATATTTTTTAATACATTGCAATAAATTGTTTTATATTGTATATTGTATATTGTATATTGTATATTGTATATTGTATATTGTATATTGTATATTGTATATTGTATATTGTATATTGTATATTGTATATTGTTGTTATTTGAAAATTTGCTCAGTTTTAAATATACTCTCAAACAATTGTTTTATTTATTTATATATTTTGTATTTGTAAAAACGTGAATACATGTATTATTACTAGCTCGGGAACCCAGCTTTGCCATGAAACAAAGTTATAAAGTTTTCTTTATTAGAGTCAACCTGTTCTACTAAGAACTTTTAAATCAGGCTATGAACAATCCCTTTGGTTCTACAGAGTACCCCGATCAAGATTTGATACAAATCGGCCCAGGGGTTCCTGAGTTATGATCGAATATACAAACAATCAAACAAACAAAGATTACTACTTTATATATATATAGATGGAAATTCATTCAGAATCAACGCCATCAAACCATTTCTGGTTGTATTGATCGGCTAGCCTTCTCTGGAGAGAGAATAAGTCTCATCAGTAATCACCCCAAATGAATTGAGTCTTGCCACAAACTCAAATTTTAAAATCCTAATATTTTTTAAACCTGATGGTGTAGATTTGCTTTTAATATTTCAAACTTTGATCTATAGTTATAGTTTGAAATATCAAAGGCCTACGACATTGGGTTGCAAAGACATGATTAGAAAATCATAATTTGTGGAAAAGACTCAAATCCTCTGATTATATTCATATTTCATTATCAAAAACTTTGTTACGGAGTAAAAGTATCACATATTGATATTGAAATTTGAAATAAGAAAAAAGTATAATGATTAAGACTAAAACCAAAATTGAAAATAATCAATTTTCACAAAGAAAATTACATTTATCTCACGCATTCAGCCATAAACTTATAGGGCTACCGTTGTGAAGACGACATACCACTCGTAAGGGGACTGTACATGTACAGTCCGAAGTGAAGGAGACTATAAAAGTACAGTCCCTCGTGAAGGAGACTGTACATGCACAGTCCATCGTGAAGGAGACTGTACATGTACGGTCTCTTGTGAAGGGGACTGTACATGTACGGTCCCTCTTGAAGGGGACTGTACATATACAGTCTCTCGTGAAGGAGACTGTACTTGTACAGTCGCTCTTGATGGTGACTGTACTATACATGTACAGTTCCTCGTGAATAGGACTGTACATGTACAGTCCCTCGTGAAGGGGACTGTATATTATCTGTGTTATAAGTTCAGAAATGAATACATACATATATAATTGATGTTTTATTAACACGAAAAAAATTAATACAATTATAACGGCCAAGATATAGTAGTCGCCTGAAGCACCTTTGGACCGACCTGAAACAGAATGTGAATGTGATTATTATTCATAAATATTTGGAAGCTTACAACCGGCCATTTAACTCTGATTGTATCATCTAAACTATGCATTGGTAGAATATAAACTCTGATTATATTATCTAAACTCTGATTGTATTATCTAAATTCTGATTGTATTATCTAAATTCTGATTGTATTATCTAAACTCTGATTGTATTTATAAACTCTGATAAAATTATCTAAACTCTGATTATATTATCTANTGATTGTATATTATCTAAACTCTGCAATTGTATTATCTAAACTCTGATCTAAAATAACCTTAGCTGAGTAAAGATGAAGAAGTGCTTGATGGAGCTGGTTCTCGTAATAAACCAGGGATCCATGCGGACTGTACAACAGCTTGTAGTGCTCAACAGAATATATATATTTATTGATTAAAGGGACTGGACTAAATGATTAAATGATAGACCACATTTTGAAAATCTCAAGACCAGGCGTTTTCGATATTAGATTTTTACGCTGGAATACTGCAATAATAGTGTTTATGAAAGATGCCGCATGGATCGAAGACGGTATAAAAGTCGTCATTGAATTCCCATGTTTATTGGGACACCCTGGATATTTATCATTTATTTTTAAACAAGGGGTGCACTTAGTGAAATTGTAAAAGATTCTATTATTATTTTTAAGTTTGGCACAAGATAATCATGAAAATCTTTTTATGTTTTTAGAAATTTCATTTTAATAAAAGTACTTGTTACCTGGTCCACAATTGAAGATAAAATGTCAATAATGCTTTTCACTGAGTAATCTTTTTGCTTTAGAATTTTCTTTAGATTTTCTTCACATCTTTGTATTCGTTTGATCTAGATACAGCAGTTCATGATTACTCTGAATTATTTAGTTGACAATTGAAAAAGATTTCAAATTTTTTCCGGATAAATTTAGACCCGTAAAGGCCTTAAAAATTATAAATCATTAAAAACTTTTGGATATTAATGGCTGAAGTTTCGTAACCAAATTAAGGAAATATCAGCCTTCTATATGCTTGACAGAGCTGTGTGTAACCTGTTACGAAATGAGTTTTCCACATGGAAAAATTGTTAATGGTTTATTATACTTACGAAACATTTCCTGAAGCCTTATCTTCAGGAAATGTTTCGTAAGGCCTTTACGGGCAAAAATTTCTGAGGAAAAATTGAAAACCCTACAATTGAACCAACCTGATAATTTCTCTTGTTTTGTATTATTTAGTTGACAATTGAACCAACCTGATTATTTCTCTTGTTTTGTATTATTTAGTTAACAATTGAACCAACCTGATTATTTCTCTTGTTTTGTATTATTTAGTTGACAATTGAACCCACCTGATTGTTTATTTTGTTTACTGGAATCTTGTAAAGCTGGGATGGGAGATCATTAAGCTGTGTTGGAAGGTCTGGCAGGGTCGGCCAATTCCTCTGACAGCTGGTGCAGTTACAGGTAAAATTGTACTTCTGCAGACTCTTCTGCCGTTCCTGTTGTACGCATATGTATTAGGTATGTACAATGTGCATGTATTTATTATGTAACCATTTTACATGTATTTATTATGTATGTAAATTGTGTATGTATTTTTTTTACGAGCATAAGTTTATTTAATCATGTTTTTACATGTTGTTACAATCTGCATGATGTGCATTATGTATATATATATATATATATATATATACATGTTTTATTATCATTATCAATGTACATGTGTAACGTAAATGCAAAGAACTTGTTAAAAATAGCTCTCAGTTAAAGATGATACCTGGATATCAGATGAAGAGAATGGTTTACAATAAATATCAGATATTTCTTCACCTTTCCTAAACTCAAAAAAAGTTTCAAATTTCAATAATTTTATTTTAAAGAATTTAGTGAAGTATTATAGGGAAAATAACTATATTTTGATAATCCGCATCATTTGAACATTTGATTAAAATTACATTATTTTAAAAGAATTAATATTATCTCCAAACGTCAATCTTGTACTTAAACTTAAGATCCATATATTCTTAATCTTAAACTTGAAACTTCTACGATCTATATATTCTTAATCTTGTACTTAAAACTTCTACGATCTATATATTCTTAATCTTGTACTTAAAACTTCTACGATCTATATATTCTTAATCTTGTACTTAAAACTTCTACGATCTATATATTCTTAATCTTAAACTTAAAACTTCTACGATCTATATATTCTTAATCTTAAACTTAAAACTTCTACGATCTATATATTCTTGCCTGATAGGTTTACAAGCAAAACCAAATGTCCGAGTACTAGTTGATACTCTCCTAAAAAAAGTTTTAAAAATGTCAGTTTACTTAAATTCAAAGAAAACTATAGTACAATGAGAATTAATAAACTCTGGAATAGGAAGACGACTTTTAGACTAAAGTTATGAATAGTCCAATGAAAATGAGACACAGCATTTGTTTAAGTAGTTCCTAGTATATAAAACTATTTGCGTTGTTGCAACATCAAACACACTTAATTATTGCTTTAATGTCGTCTTCCTGTTCCTCAGTTTTCTGGTTCTCACTGTATTAATTAATATTTATCGAAAAGCAAAAGAGGGTTCAGCTGCGTAGACGTGGTTGAACAACTTCTTTTGATCTCTGATTTATGTTGAAGAGAGGTGATTCAATTTACTTTACTACTTCTTACAATCCATTAAATGTGGTCCGAAAAATATTTAGTTGTTTAACCTATAGTTAGGATCACAGGAGTGGTTGATCAGAGCAAGAGTAGGGTTGGTTACACGACCAATTCTCTGCACGTGGTTTTCATCAAACCCAGGCCCAGTCTTCTCAACCTTAACGTTCAAAAGTCACTTATATGGAAAACCACATTTAAAACTAATCAATTTTCAAACATAAAACATGCATATATGATGCATTCAAGGGTACCGTTGTGAATCGGACTCTACAACTGGAAACTCATTTGAAGCTATGTTTACTGTCCCTTTAAAGATATTTTTAAATAATTCTAACTTGAGTTATTTCGTGAGTATTGTAGAATGCCGCGCGCATAAAATGATGAAGAATGCGCGCAGCATTGATTTCGTCTTCTGAAAGTTTGAGTTCAGCTGATTCGCCTGAACCAAAATATTCTGCTACTCGTAGAACTCTAAACATTCATTCATTATTTACTGTAGGAGAAAAACAAGAAGAACGTTAACAAAAAATAAGACAAAGGAATTGAGTCTTTGCCACAAGCTCTGCTTTTCTAAACCTTATATCTTTGGATTCCAATGTCTTAGACCTTAGATATTTCAAGCTATGAATTCTCTTAGATCAAATAATGTAAGTTTGAAATATCAAAGATTTACGACATTGGGTTCCAAAGATATAGGGGTTATAAATTCAGAGTTTGTGACAAAAACTCAATTCCTTTACAATTTAAGTTTTGTTGAGACATGAATGAATCCCTGATGAGAAAAACAACCACGTGAGCTTGCATCATTAGCTCAGGAGCCTTCTTATTTGCGCTTCCATCATGGGTCACCAGGGAATGAAAGTTCAAGATGTCCTGGAGGGCAAAATTGAAAAAAATGAAAAATAAAAATTTAAAAAAATGAAATGAAATAAAAAAAGTTTGAAAATTAATAATAATTTTTTTCGAGTTGAGACCTAAAAAATCAAATATTAAAGTAATTAAAACATTTGAAAAATATCAAAATTTTTAACTTTGAATAATTAAAATGTCCGATGCTTTTAAGTTTGATCAGAACCTGAGATGAGTAAACTGCCTCCCCCTCAAGGCCTTGAAGTTCATTACGTCCGAGAAAAACATCTGAATCCAGTTCTCAATGATGATTTTATTAAAAGTGGTTGTACGCGTAATTTCAAGTGACCCTCCATGTAAATGCCCGATTTACAATGGTACCCTTGAAAGCTTTGCCTGATGTTAATATCTTAAAAAGCTGATTATTTTCAATTGCATGGTTTTTCTACAAAAGTGGCGCATTTCTAGTGCAAAAAATTATAATCAGAATTAAATACTTTAAAACCCAGAAAAACGAGAATATCCTCCACATTATTAATCAAATAAAAGTTTCAAAGGTACCGGACATCGCCATCTTTGCATGGAGGGTCACTTGAAATAACGCTTACAGTCCCTTTCACCAAATTGTTATTGTTATATTATTAAAGTGCTTTTTCTCTCCTCAAATATTAAGCATTGATTTCCTAGGTTTTCTTGAAAGTAACTCCAAGGATAGGAAGTGAGCGCTCTAAAAGCTAATCTGAAAAATAATTACTGTCATTATTTTCAACTTTTCAATGGGAGAGCACTTTGCTTCAGCGACTGATTTTGATATCCAATACGTTAACTTTTAAAATGGAGGTTGAACGCCTTAAATGGCGCCAATGAGGACGCTTAAACTCTCTCTAAGGAGTCTTGGGCTTAAGACACAAAAGTTTCCCGTTTCTTTTATAATTAAGCTATCCTAGAACTTTGAAAAGGGAAGAATTGATATAAAAATATATACCTCCAGGCACCCAGATTAGCTTGGTATAAAATATCAGTGAACATACATTCATACTTGTGATACGAACTCGTACTTATCTCCCTGAAAAAAAATTCCTCAACTTTAATTTTTTAATAAAAATAAAAATATTAGCTTACTTGCAATCGTCTGAACAAAAAATGACACCAGAGCATCTATCGCAAGGAATAGGCCTCTAAAGTATTTTATATAATTGTTCATTCACCACAAGCTATGATCGTCTAATTTATTTGTAATGTAAATATGAATTAACCTTACAACAAATGAGACAGTGCCAGCAGTGGGTTTTACTGAATTCCTAAACATTTAATTATTTAAATATACAAAAGTAAATAATTGTGATGTCAAGAACCGAATATTATGTATTGGAGAGGTTGCTGATCTACCTACCACCGGTTCAAATCCTGAATTCAAAGTTAAAGATTCATGGGTATTTAGGTAATTAATTGGAGAGTGAATAAGTGATTCAGGATTTGAACCGGCGCTAGGTAGTTCAACAACGTCCCGCGCAACTCATAAAATCCAGTCCTGCAGGTCCTAAACTCCATGAGTACCTTGTCAATAAGAGCAACAAATGCATTTTCTACAGCAATGAGTTCCCCGACCTCGATATCTCGAGCAGAGACTGCAAACCTGCCTCGACCGGCCTCAAACTTAATCTTCACTGCATCACTGAAACATTTAAATTTAAGAATTTAGAATTTTAAATTCTTTAAATCATTCTTCTCTTAGGCTTGAATTCAGAACAATATTCTTTTGAAATTGAGAATAAAAGAACAAATGATAAATGCATTCGCTACATTTGCACCAGGAAACCAAGACAGGAGGGGGGGGATTCCCATGATTTAAAGAACTGAAAACCCCCTCCCCGTATCCTAATTCGGTTAGATCAAATAGATTGCAAAAATATAGGGATTATAAAATTAAAGTGTGATGGGACACTATAGTTTCAGTGGAGGTAAATATTTCTATTTACTGATAGCACCGATTCAAGGATTCATAACTCTAATTGGATAATGAGATAGATAGAAAGATAGATGTTACCGCCATACTATTTCATTGATTCAGAATAGACAACAAACACATGACTGAATCCTGATTGGATCAGGCGCTAATGGACTCGGTATACAGGAGTGGCGTGTGCACAATGGTTAGTTCATGTGATTGGCAAAATAAACAAAATAGATTGTGTTACATGTAACAGCCCATGTCATCTTTACAAAGTGAAAATTTGTATTTTTATCCTCTTACAGATACTGTACGCATAATTTCCAGTGACCCGCCATACAAAGATGGCAATGTCTGATTTAGATCGGTACCCCTAATAAATTTGACTGATCAAGTATGAATCCATGTTTATAAATTCAAAAACTGATTATGTTCAATAATGGGTTCTCTACAGAAGTTACTCGCACATTTCCACTATACATGAAAAGTCATAGGAATTAAACAATTTTAATCCTAGAAAAACCACAATATCTTCCACAGTTTTGATCAGATTAAGGCTTCAAGGGTACCGTTCTGAATCGGACATTGTCATCTTTGCATGGAGGGTTATCTAAAATTACGCTTACAGTCCCTTTATTGTACTTAAGAAAATTGAATATACCTGAATGCGGGAAACTTTTTATTAGATGCTAGTTTTGGTAAGATATGTTCAGGACTTGGGTTTCCATCTTTTAATAGTTTACTACTATTCCTCTCCTTGCTATTCTTTAGTTTGTTCAGCACAACATCAAACTCGTTAAACTTCTTCTTCTTTTTCAGTTCGTCTAACTTTGATAGCTCAAGATACTTTTGAGCGAGCTTTATATCCTGGAAAAGTATTTAAAAATGGATTATCCGAAAGAGTAAAGATATTTTTGCAATATTTACAAACCTCTTTTGCTTCTTCTATCTTTTCCATGGCAAATCTACTTTTCGCACGTCGTTCATGAAGCTTGAATACTAGGTTATCAGGGTAACCTAGCCTTAAAAAAAAAGATTTTTTTATTCTACTAAAAATTCTGAATAATTGAGCTTGATTCTGCAAGATAATTTTACCTCATTGCTAGATCAATATCCTTTTCAACTAAATCATGTTCTCCAAGATCAAACCACAGAGCAGATCTAAGATTTAAAAATGTGAATTTAGCTTGAAAAGGGTATTTCAAAATATTTTACCTATTAGCAAGAATAAGGGCTGTATCTTCTTTTTTACTGAAATGAAACATAAGATGAAGAAATAAGTATAAAAATATCAAACTTAAATGGAAATGTCATTCTGTCTGTATGTATTGCATATGCACTATGTATCTACAGCGTCTTATTATACACTAGCTGAAGGACCCGGCGTTGCACGTGAATTTTTTTTTTGAATTTTTGCTAGCCTTTGTTACTCCCGGGATACCCTTGGGTTCCCTTTAAAAATGTCAGTCCATTCGGTACAGTACCTAGAGTACATGAGAGCTTGATTGTATTCTGTAAGTTAGTACAAAGATATGAAGTATCTAGACATGAGAGCGTTAAATTGTACTCTGTAAGTTAGTACAAAGATATGTAGTACCTGGAGTACATGAGAGCTTGATTGTACTCTGTAAGCTAGTACAAAGATATGGAGTACCTAGAGTACATGAGAGCTTGATTTTACTTTGTAAGTTAGTACAAAGATATGAAGTATCTAGAGTACATGAGAGCGTTATTGTACTCTGTAAGTTAGTAAAAAGATATGTAGTACCTGGAGTACTTGAGAGCTTGATTGTACTCTGTAAGTTAGTACAAAGATATGAAGTATCTAGACATGAGAGCGTTATTGTACTTTGTAAGTTAGTACAAAGATATGTAGTACTTGGAGTACATGAGAGCTTGATTGTACTCTGTAAGCTAGTACAAAGATATGGAGTACCTAGAGTACATGAGAGCTTGATTGTACTCTGTAAATTAGTACAAAGAATGTAGTACCTAGAGTACATGAGAGCTTGATTGTACTCTGTAAGTTATTACAAAGATATATAGTACCTAGAGTACATGAGAGCTTGATTGTACTGAGTAAGGGAGGTTAAATTATCCCCCGAACCATAGCTTTTGTTTCCCTTTTCCTTCATAGCTCGGCACAAATCAGAATTCTTCCTAAACGTAAACAAACATGTAAAAAAGTTTTCACAAACTGAATTAATGAATATATCCCGTAAACAAAAGTAAACTGTGTATAACATTGAAATCTTAAATGGTTTTAATTTTAACTCCTCTTCTTATTGGAACTATTGGAACAAAAATATTTCGAATTTGTTGTATGTAGCCAGATAAATTTGCTTTCCTCATACAATTGTTTCTAAAATCAAAACGGGAACTATGAGGTCACAAAGTCTTTGATAATATTGCATAAATTTCACCTTCTCTTTCTATCTAATAAAGTGTGACATTCTCTGTTTTTTTTCATCCAGTCAATGTTTCATATTTACTAGGAAATAAACACTCTCCATGAACTCAAATATTTCAAATATTTCAAATATTTGACCTAGCAAAACCTTTGATATTTCAAATATTTGATCTAGCAAAACCTTTGATATTTCAATTTTTTTGATCTAGCAAAACCTTTGATAATTCAAATATTTGATCTAGCAAAACCTTTGATATTTCAAATATTTGATCTAGCAAAACCTTTGATATTTCAAATATTTGATCTAGCAAAACCTTTGATATTTCAATTTTTGATCTAGCAAAACCTTTGATATTTCAAATATTTGATCTAGCAAAACTTTTAATATTTCAAATATTTGATCTAGCATAAGTTAAAGTTTGAAATATCTAAGGTTACGCCTAAAAAGTTGAAAGGATAATAAACAAATTAGAGTTTGTAAGTGCACAGTTCCTTTGTAAGTCATACGAAAACTCTAATTCGTATATAAGCTTATGGAAAATCTAAAATAATTTTGAACGGAATTGAGTCTTTGCCACAAAATCTAATTTTCTTATATTTTTATTTTTTGCTTATATCTGTTTTATTATAGGATGAACTCCTGATGATGCCAACGTTTGTGGCGAAATATATTGAGAAGAAAATGATATAATTCTAGAGAGTAGGGTTGGGATTTGTTTAAAAATGATCCAAAGTATATTTGCAAATTGATGGTGTAAACCTTTGTTTACACATCAGGTTGCAAAGATGTAGGAAATTATAAAATCTATGAATGTTAGTCATCGAAGTTTTAGACAGCCTCTACTTTAAAGCGTCGCAATTCGGCTTAGGCGTTGTTTTTACAACAGCAACTCGCTTGTACTTTTTTTTAGCCCCAGGCTTATACATTCTAAAAACGCGACGGTCTTGTTTATAGCTTAAGTTTTAAAGGAGTAATTCTTAAAATACTGTTCGATTTTTGTGTGAGAGAGGGCAATTCACACTGCATATCTCTTGGTTCACAGTGTTACAAAGACTCAATTTCTCAATATTTAACCTGTTCGAAGATCTATCTTTGTCCAGCTGAACCTTGTAAAGGGTTTCAGAAAACTCAGAAATAAATCTATTCAAAATATTTTTTACAATTGTATAATATGATTTTTTTAAATTTTTGTCATATAATAAATTCAGTGATAACATATTATGAATTCAGGGATATTATATTTCAGGGATATTATATTTTAGGGATATTATATTATGGATTCAGGGATATTATGTTATGAATTCAGGGATATTATATTATGATATTATATTATGAATTCAGGGATATTATATTATGAATTTAGGGATATTATATTATGGATTCAGGGATATTATGTTATGAATTCAGGGATATTATATTATGGATTCAGGGATATTATATTATGAATTCAGGGATATTATATTATGAATTTAGGGATATTATATTATGAATTCAGGGATATCATATTATGAATTCAGGGATATTATATTATGGATTCAGGGATATCATATTATGAATTCAGGGATATCAAATGAAAATCTTTCTCTAAGTTGTTGAAAGAAAATATTTTCCTAATTCTCTCGATATTCTTCTCCTCTGTATCTTCATCATTTTGCCACAAGTCCGGGTCTTTCTACGTAAAAAGCATCGTTAACAAACAAATATTAATCTTGAAAAACTTCTGAGAAGGGTTGGGCACGTTCCAGCTTTTTCTAGCCGTTTCGGTAACGGTTAGTTCAACCGTTTAGAAAAAGTTCAGGTAGTCGTTATTTATTAATGTAAGAACAGAAATTTCTATTTGTTAACGGTATTTTTCGTTTCGTTGACTATCTCAATTTTATTAACGGCATTACGGTTGTTTGTAGTATTAACAGCGTTAACGATTGGCCAAAACTTGAAAACTTTTTTTAAAAAATCGTTAACGGTTTATCAAATTATATTTAGGTCTCAAGCTGTTGCCAAATAGCAAAACAAATCTTAAAAAATTCCATCATATAAATAAAGGGGGAACCAATTGAAGACGACATTTAAAAACATAAAAATACAAGTTTCATGCTTTTATTCGATATCAGGAAAAAAACTCAATTTTTGTTAAACTGTATATTGGATTAGATATTATACGGTTATAGTAGGTGATTATATCAAACAATGAAGACGACCTTTTAATTAAGCTTTGATTTTTAATTAAAGAGAAGCTTTTTTCATCTACAACTTTTCTTTGTTTTCATGTTTTTGTGTATCCATGCTGTTTAAAAGCTTGAAACAAATCAAAATTGAAATCGAAAGTCGTCTTCAGTATATTGATAAAATCGCCTACCGCCGTAGGTGAGGTGACACTGATATTACGCAGCGTAAGGCAGAAAATTAATTTTGCGCCCCCCTTTTTCATTCATTTGCGGCCCCTTAAGCTTATGAAATTCCCGTAGAAAAAAAAAATAAATTTATGGTAAAATTTTACCTCTAAACTGATATCACAGAATACTTTGTGTAGAAAAGATTGATTCGTCATTTTTTCTGAAATATTTCATCATAACTTTTTTTTCAAAGGTTTGTACTAAAATTGTGTGTTCTGAGAATTTAATTCCTTTTCTACAGTAATAGAAATATTGTTGATACTTTTCATATTGTACAAAAGTATCTAAAAAAAACTGTGCTATAGGAATCATGAATATTGAGAAATCCAAATAGATAATCAAGTACAATAGGTGGCAACAGAGAAATGAACCAATTATACACAACGTCATGAGTGTCAAATATAACAAGGAAAACGAAATTGTCTCACATTAGTTGACATGTTTTCCAAGATTAAGTAAAATAGTGTAAAAACAGAAACTAAAGAACACGTAAAATTTCACTTATTATATTGTAAGAAAAGCATTTTATTCTAGAATTATCACTATTATTGATTATTTTGTTGGACACAAAAACGGAAATGACACTTATGACGTCAGAATACACTGTACTGAGAGTGTACAAATTCTATGTTGCCATCTATTGTATTAGAATCTGTTTGGAGAAATCTAATTTTTATTTGATGTTGTTATGAAGCAAAAAGTTTATCCAGTAGCTGCAGGGAAATCAACTATATATGTTTTGTGTTTACAAAAAAGTTTTTATTCAATACAATACATCTAATTATAAAATATATATTTGTGATTTAATTATAGCTTACTAATATCAGCCATGCTTTAACTTTGTTTGTAGAGATGAAACTGTGAAATATCTATGTAAGACGGCAAAGGAATCAGAGGGGGGAAAACGTGCTTTCTAACAATTCAAAAATAGTACAATATATTATACGACATCTATGTAGGCTTTCTCCTCAATCTTCACCGCCCCCCCCCCCCCTTCTACACCATAATTATTGTAAACGGGCAGATACAAGGCCGGTAATAGTGAGCAAAGGGTGGACCGTGGATGGATGGGAAGAATTTCACCTTTTTAAACTAAAAAAAAATAACGACCGCCGACCCCATAAAATATTTTTCACTTGCCCCTTACAGCAGACTAAATTAATTAGCGCAATCTCTCTCTTATTCGAATAGAGCAAGTATTTCCTTGAATGAACTCACAATATATAAATATCTTCTTTTCTGTGGTTAGGGTTGTATGGGTGTTATTGTTTGGTATGTTCTTATTTCTTTTTTTATTATTATGTAAGAATAAACAAGGGTGCATAGCGGGGGGGGGGGGGGCAGTGTCATACCATAGACTTAAAAGAAGAGGGGGAAAAAGTAGCAACCCTCCCCCCCCTAGAATTAATATATCTTTGGAATTTTTTTATTTAAAACTAAAAAATTAGAAAGAAAGAACGCTGCAAGCTTGAGGATGAGTACAAACAACTACCTAAGCTCGGCCATATTTTGTAAATAATTTTAATTTATCTTCATGTTACTTTTCGTTGTACGGTGGTTCATTAGCATCATTTATCTAATAAAAGAAGGGAAAAGTAAGAGAGGATAGAAATAAAAATTCCCAGGTAATTTATTTCAGAAAGCACTTAATTTTTCTTTAATTTGAAGAAAAAATATTCCATCTTTTACACATAATATTGGTTACAAAAATTAGATTTAGTTCCTATTTTTCTTCTCTTTTTTCCTTCTTACTTTCAATTTTTGTTTCCTTTTTTTCATGTTCTTCTTTTTTTAGTCTCAGATGCGTGTCCCCCTGTGCCCCCCTTCGAGGGTAAAAGGGTGATGGGCACATGCCCCTGTGCTACAGGCCTGCTCTAGATATTTGGAAGATCTTGTGGAATACGATTCCAGCTTTTGAAATATTATATTCGTTATACAGGGGATGTAAAAAAAGTGAAATTGTCCAAATATCGGGATTGGAAGTTACCATAGATAAAGATAGATTGCGCATAAGACGACATTTTTCATCTTGAAAGATATAAATGTACAGAGATGTTTTAAAGATATTCCTAATATATAGATTAACTAAGTCGGTTGTGAACATTGGCTGTTCTTATGTCATTGAGTACTTGTGGTGTACATGAGTTCTGTAGAAAGAAATTTAAGTTAGTTTATGATATATTGCTCAGTGAAATATTGTTGTTCAAATAGTTCCATTCCCGGAGTTATTTTACACTCTATTATGAAATCCATTAAAACACCAAACCACCCCGCTCATCATTGAAGTACACTTTGACCCCTAGAAGTATGAGTTCGCGGACTGTATTCATGGTGATTTTGCGTACATAAGCTATCTATGTTTATTTATTTATCTATGAAAGTTACTTATGAGCCTCCTTAAGCAGAGAAAGATTAACATTGCTGGAGATAATTAATTTCTTTATTAAATATCTTTAATGGCTCCAGCCATTTACGGTCTATTACATTATTAACAACGCGAACCGCCGGTTTATGGAACGGTTTATTTCGGTATTAACAGTGCAGAGCGGCAAAAAAAATTCGTTAACTGTTTAAAAACTGTAAAAACAGAAGACGACATTTAAAAACATCAAAGCACTTACAAATATTTTTTATAAGCTAACACATTTTTAAGCAGGAAAAAAACGTAATTCACTCTTTTTTTAAAAATTCGTTTCGTTTTCAATCGTTTATTTTTTTAAAACGGCTGATCCGTTTCGTAAACGATTAAAAACTTAACAGTTTTTGGCGTTCGTTAACGGATTCTTCTGTTAGATTTCGAAAACCTCCATTCCGTTAACGTTACTTTGTAGTCCTAAATAGCCAACTTTCTCCGGAGCACAACATTATCCAGAGCTAAACCTTGAACCAGCATCTAGAGCCAACTTTCTCTGGAGCACAACATTATCCAGAGCTAAACCTTAAATCTACATCTAGAGCCAACCTTCTCTGGAGCACAACATTTTTTTCAGAACTAAACCTTGAACTAGCATCTAGAGCCAACCTTCTCTGGAGCACAGCATTTTTTCAGAGCGAAACCTTGAACCTGCATCTAGAGACAACCTTCTCCGGAGCACAATGAACCTTGAACCTACATCTAGAGCCAACCTTCTCCGGAGCACAACATTATACAGAGCTGAATCTTGAACCTTCGTCTAGAACCAACCTTCTCCGGAGCACAATGGACCTTGAACCTGCATCTAGAGCCAACACTAGATATTTGCAGATCCAATCCTTTCTTGAGTAAACCATAAACCTTAACTTATAGCTAACTTTTCTATGGTAAAACCCAATCTGTAGCTGAATCTGAAACCTGACCTTGAAGCCATTCTTCTCCGGAACAAATCCTTATCTGAAACTAGAACCTGAACTTGGAGTCAAAACTCAAAAAGCTCTAGAGCACAACCTTATCCGGAGCCGAAGCTTTGATCCTCAAAGCCATTCTTCTTCTAAGCAAAACACAATTCTTAACTGAAGATGAAACCTTGACTTAAAAACTAACTTTCTCTTGAACCTGCAGTACTTAAAGCCGACTTTTTGCAGAGTATAACTTAATATCCGGAGCTCAACCTTACACTGTACTTGAAAATTGAACCTTCTCCTAAGGAAAATTTGTTCCGGAAATAATAACACTTTATAATATCAAGCCAACATTATCCGGAGAGAAAGAACCTTATCAGCAACTGAGGATAACATCAACCCAACATTCTCCAGAGAGAAAGAACTTTATCAGCTACTGAGGATAACATCAAGCCAACATTCTCCAGAGAGAAAGAACTTTATCAGCTACTGAGGATAACATCAAGCCAACATTCTCCAGAGAGAAAGAACCTTATCAGCAACTGAGGATAACATCAAGCCAACATTCTCCAGAGGAAAAGAACCTTATCAGCAACTGAGGATAACATCAAGCTAACATTCTCCAGAGAGAAAGAACCTTATCAGCAACTGAGGATAACATTAAGCCAACATTCTCCAGAGAGAAAGAACTTTATCAGCAACTGAGGATAACATCAAGCGAACATTCTCCAGAGAGAAAGAACCTTATCAGCAACTGAGGATAACATAAACCCAACATTCCCCGGAGAGAAAGAACCTTATCAGCAACTGAGGAAATCCTTACAAATTATGAAACCTATATGCCGAACTGAAACTGGAACCTGGACCGGAGCCAAACCTGCAAAACCATATTTATGAATTTAACTTAAAAGAACTGCAAAGCGAAATTTCAAGTGACCCCACCATGCAAAGATGGCATTTCCCGATTCACAACGGAACGGTACCTTGACTGCTATGTTTGATATAGTATGAATTAGATATCAATATATTTACAATTTCAAAAACTGATTTTTTTATTTTCAGGTTCTCGAATAAAGTGACTTGCGATAATTGGTAATATATCAGAATTCAACACTTCTAATCAAATAAATCAAATGATAACGACAATACCTTTCACATTATTCATCATATAAAAGTTTCAAGGATACCGTTGTGAATTGTACATTACCAGGTTTATATGGAGGGTCACTTGAATTTACGCTTACAGTCCCTTTAATCGGAAATAACACGAATTTGGAACCAGCTGTGCCATGAGCAACATCAGATCTATTAAGTAGTACCGCAGGTTATATATTCATCATTTATATTTGTCTAAAGCAAAATTTCATTAAACAATATAAAAGTTTACAATTTAATGTTAATACTCTTTTATCTGGATATCGCATTTTATGATTGACCGGGTTTGCCAAAAAAAACAGGTGCCATATAGTGCAGTACAGCTACATGTACTCTACGGTACAGCACAGTAGCTGTACCCATAAAGAAATTGAGTCATTGTCACAATCTCTAATTTTCTAATCCTTATTTCTTTGCAACCACTTCGTGTACACCTTTGATATTTCAAACTCAGATTATTTGATCTATAAAAGAATTTATAGTTTGAAATATATGAGGTCTACAAGTTACAACATGGGGTTGAAAAAGATATAGGGATTAGAACATCAGAGTTTGTGACAAAGACTCAATTCATTTAGAATTCAAGAATCAAGATCAGTTCAAGATCAGTTCAAGATCAGTTCAAGATCAGTTCCACATCAGTTCAAGATCAGTTCAAGATCAGTTCAAGATCAGTTTAAGATCAGTTCAAGATCAGTTCAAGATGGTTGACGTTTTTCGTCTAGCATGCAATTTTAAAATAGGATTTTCATCTTAGATTCTTGTGTCTCCTTTAAAAAGTTGAAAACGATGAAGATCTGTATATCTGTATATCTGTGTATCTGTATAATCTGAGAACAAACTACATTAAGCCTCACTGTGAGAGGTAAATTGGGCCATGCCAGGGTTGATATGGTATTTTGTTTGAAGGAAATCTAAAATGTTTCAACTTTAGACAATCTGATTTCAATAAACAGTGATAAATAGAAAACTGTAGAAGACGACATTATACCAAACATGAAGTGCATCAAAGTGAATAAATACTTAAATCACTTTGGAAGTGCATTTGAATTTTGATTTTGTTTCTAAGAAAATAGCTTTACTGTTAAGTTATTTTATTAATTATTAAGTGAAATGGGTCTGTTTACATTGCAAAAGTACGGTGTCTCATGCCTCTTGAACTATTAAAAGTCCTAACTTGAGTTTAAAAGTCGACTTCCTATTCCAGAGTTTTATGGTTATCAATACTGTATAAAATTTTATTTAAGGGAAAAAATGTCTTGGTTCCCTTTTTTGTTTAAAGAAACAAATGTTTGTATATTTCAAGAAAAATCTCACTTACACATACGAATAAATAGCAAGAGCGCATGAAATGTCGTCTTGAAATTTATTTAAAGTTTATGACAGAGCCCGTTCTCTCTATAGATAGTGGTCGTGTAGTACGCGTACTTTGGGGGACGATATGTTGGCCTCTAGATGTCTCATGCTGAATTCTTATCTGATAGATAAAAAATTTCTCCGTACACTTGACTACCAATATAGGAGACGTCAAGTTGTCGACCTATAATGTAGTTAATGGAAGGAACGGCGTCATATACTTTATGCTTAACATCATTGTTCTGCATAAAAGAATACATCGTAAAAATTCATATATCTGGGATTCACTGTAGATAATCCCTTTGTATATTTCAAGAAGAAAAGATATTCCATTTTTAAAGGAATAAATCGATTTTCCCTTTTTGTATTTTTCAAGAAAAATAGATATTCCATTATTAAAGGGAATAAATCGATTTTCCCTTTTTGTATATTTCAAGAAAATATTTCATTTTTAAATGAAAAAATCTATATTCACTTTTTTGTATATTTCAAGAAAAAAAAAATTTCCTTTTTTGTATATTTAAAGGAATAAATGGATGGGCTCCTTTTTTGTATATTTAAAGGAATAAATTGATAGGTTTTCTCTTTGCATATTTAAAGGAATAAATGTATAGGTTTTCTTTTTATATATTTAAAGGAATAAATAAATGGTTTTTCTTTTTCGTTTATTTAAAAGAATAAATGGATGGGCGCTACGACATCTGCTCTATTTCCATTTGCTCTAAGGCCATTTGCTCTAGTGCCATTTGCTCTATTAACCACTTGCTCTATAGCTCATAGATCACGACGTTTGCTCTGTATGTCATCTGCTTTATACGTCAATTGATCTATGACATAACACGTCATTTGCTCTATAACCATTTTTATGACTGTGATGGTCCAATTGCTCTACTCAACATTTGCTCTATGAATAAACACGTCATTTGCTCTATAACCATTTTTATGACTGTGATGGTCCAATTGCTCTACTCAACATTTGCTCTATGAATAAACACGTCATTTGCTCTATAAACATATTTTACAAATATCTAATCATATTAAAACTATATTTTTACAATTTTACATTTTATAGTTCTTCCTACAGTTTCATTATTCCGCCAACTTCCTGGAGATAGTTTTGTTTGTCTAGTATTTGTGCATATTGTGAGACCAAGCTAAATATAGTTTTCACCACATATCAGGTTTTTTTACCCCTCTTATTATTAAGCAGTCTCTCTGTCATGATGAACTTTGAAGAACTGATTAAAACTGCAATTTGCGAATTTCATAGTCAAGTTACGCTTAGGAATTCCAATAAAAGCTATTTTATAGTGTATTTTTAGGTTATAGAGCAAATGACGTGTTTAGTCATAGAGCAAATGAGGTATAGAGCAGACTGAATATAGAGCAAATGACGTATAGAGCAAATGACTTGATAGATCAAACGGAACTAGAGCAAATGACCATAGAGCAAATGGAAATAGAGCAGATGTCGTAGCGCCTTTTCTTTTTGTATATTTAAAGGAATAAATGGACAGGTTTCTTCTCTGTATATATTTAAATGAATAAATGGATGGGTTTCCTCTCTGTATATATTTAAATGAATAAATGGATGGGTTTTCTCTTTGTATATTTAAAGAATTAAATGTCCGGAAGGGATTCCTTTTAAAGAAATAAATTCCAGTTTTGTGTTAAGAAAAATGGATAGTTCTTTTTTCTATATTTATTTCTATATGGACAGGACTAGTCGGTGCAACAAGGTTGACACGGTCAGACTTTATGCTTCATATAGGTTGAATTTACTTTTACTAAAGGGGCAGAGGTCAGGTGCGTGACAGAGATACTTTTGTTATTTTATTAAAGACTTGACAGTTTTTAAATTTTTAAAAACAGGTTCAGAATTTTCTCTAGATTTGGAACTGAGTTTTTGCCACAAACTCAAATATTCTAATCCCTAAATCTTTGCACCGAGTGGTGTAAACATTCAAACTTGGAATATTTTACCATAAGAATTCAAAGTTTGATATCTACGAGTACTCTATAAACTCAACACAAATAAAATACAGTTCATAACTTTTTTTTACATTAAATGTTTACAATAGCCTTTAGCCTTGAGAATTGAGAAAGATAAAAATATTCTTTTTAAAACTAACTATAGTATAATACAATTTCTACAATAACTCTATTGGTTTTCTTATTCCTGTGATACTGATTTTCGCCATTCTTTCTTTCTTTTCACTCTGCAGAGGGGGGCGCGCCCCCCCCTCTCAGGTGCTAAATGAGGGCGCGCGCTGAAAAGGGGTATAGGCTTAATGCGATAAAAAAGCGCTTTTGTCGCTTCTAATCTTACTTCTATCTGTTGCGTCTATAAGGAGAAAATTGTTAAAAACGACTAATACCGAAGAACGTAGTATCCATACAAATTCAAAAAACATACGACTTAGACCGTAAAAAAATCTATTTAATTTCAAACAAATCATTCAGATATTACACCCTATGGTCATCGATTATCTTTCGCCACATTTGTATATAGTTGATTCTTCATAATATGTTTTAATTGTTATGATCTGAGAGTTACTTATAAAAACATTTATTCCTGTTTCGAGGATTTTTGGTAATGAAGACGACATTTTAGTATTTTCCAGGAATGTTCGAAAACAAGTTGGAAGCTAAATGTTATTTTAAAACATAAAATCATAACAGAATGAACGAATTTTTTCACCAATTTTTTTTCTCAAATAAATGTCACTTTGTTAGTATTTTGACTATATAACTTTTTCAAATATTACCAAGAATGTAATCTGATTTTTGTAATCGATTCTTTTCTTTTTCAGACAGACCTCACTTTTAATAACTAACACGTTATATTCATATAATCATCATATTTAAAGGATTTATTAAACATCATCAGTACAAAATTCTTTACAATTTTAAAAATTTCATTGACCCATAACCAATAGTACAATTCGTGTAACAGTAATTTTTTGGTTTCTAATAAATTTTTAAATAAATTCTAGATTATCTAATAAAATTCGACAGTTTCTATAAAATCATACACATTCAAATGTTTAAAATATAACAATAATAAAATTAAAATATAATAGTTTAACATATTGATAATATTACATTATATTTATCCTAAAAAGAATTGGCTAAAGTGTGTGTGTGTGTGTGTTTTTGACTGTTTGTTTGTCATGAAATTGTGATGCTTTGCCCCACATGAATGAGCGGATGAATAGATGAATTGATCTGACATTTCTAATCAATATATTGAGTTTTGTTGTGTAGATACACGAATATTGTTTCTATGCATGCTTTGTATAAAAGTCAGTCTGTAAACTTAATATAAACTAATACTAGATATAAAGTATGCGTGAAGCCCCTTCTTCCCTCTGCTGTAGAAATCCACCGAATTTAGTTTGGCGTTGGTAAACTTCTAGCGAGGGACGCGGGCTCATCACTATTCAATGGTTATAGTCTCATTTCGTACACACTTCTTCTTCAGATCCTGCGACGGGGTTTTCGTGGAGGGGGAGATAGTGACGGCGGTGGCGGTACTGCCCGGCGATCCTTCACAAAGTTTTCTTTTCCTTGATCGTGTGATCGGTCCGTAGCAGTGGCACTCAGGGGTGCAGAGAACAGAGTGACTAGGGGTAGAGGAGGGAGCTATCACAGGCGAAGATATTATACTAAGAGAGACCCCACTGTTCCCCAGCGGGAAAGGGAACGGCTGCGGCGGGTATGAAAGCAGCGGCGGTGGGGCGGGCAGGGTGTGACTAGAGAAAGAAGAGACCTGGACTGTCAAGGGAAGAGTGAGTGGGGAGCAGTATGAGGGGAGAGGAACTGGAATGCCAGGGAAGGAGGATAGGTACTCGGATACTTGATGACCTTTAAAGCTGAACACATCCGACTCCTTGGGCTTCAATTGGTTAACGGATCCGCCCCATAGTTTAGCAGAGGAGTTTGTCAGGCTTCCGGAGCTACCGGAGGAAGATTTGGATCCGAAACTGGATCTATCGGAGGAACTAGATATGGTGGTTTCAGTGGAAACCGACTGTTTGAGTTTCCGCTTTTGAAGAAGTTTGCTCCCTGAGCTTGCAACCGGGAAGAGACGGAATCCTTCTCTGGTAGCGTTGTGGAATGCTGCGTAGGTCTGCTTGATGCAGAGTTCCATGGTTGGATCTGCGATCAGAAGGGCCGGGGTCATCAAAGGATTTACATTGGCAGTGGTTTGTGATAACCAAGGAGCGGAATGGAGCTGATCCATTGAGATCCGTTTACGGGGGTCTACGGTCAGCAGACCCTTGCATAGAGTCTTGGCAGTGTTGCTGACGCATTTCCAGGCGTCACCGTCAAACCGGAAGTCACCATCCTTAATCCGACGCATGATTGAACTGGCGGTGTCAACGCGGGGTCTGGAGTAGAAGGGAGCAGTTCCGCCCAGCATTGCATACTGAAATAATAAATAGGAATTAAACCTTTTTATCTTTTGACAATAATTTTAGAAGGGAAAAAATACTCAATTTACATAAAATGGGCTGTCCCTCCCTGCCTTTGTTCTAACAAAGACCCTGGCACATCAACCCTACATTACTGCGCAACAAAGTTCATAAAAAATGCATTGAAATAATAATTTGCAACTTGGAATTGCAAACGTCCTTGCAATTTCATCCAGAGGATGATCTTTAAATTAAAAGAATTTACAATTAAAAACAAGACTAACAGGTTGGTAATCAATTATCCTATTTACCGAACAAAATACTGTATACTGGAAACACTGTTAAAAAAACCCTAAATGAGAATAAAAGTAGAATCAGTAAAAACTTACCAATATAACTCCGAGACTCCACATATCACAACTCTCATTGTATCCTTCGTTGCTTGTTCTCATGGCTACCTCCAGCACCTCAGGAGCAGCATAAGGTAATGTAAAGCACGGGGTGAGCATCCCAGACTCAAGTTCGGGTTTAAGACGGGCAAATCCAAAATCCACAACCTTGAGTTGAGCATTCTCCTCCATGGTATCGAAGAGTAGGTTCTCTGGTTTCAGATCTCTATGCACTAGTCCCAGGGAGTGAAGGTAGCTTATGGTTGAGGTAAGAGAACGAAGGATGCGGCTAGCTTCTTCTTCAGTAAACCTCCGCTTCTTTTTTATCCTGTGGAACAGTTCACCACCCCTGAGGAGCTCAGTGACGATGTAGGTGTGGCAGGCGTCCATGATCACCTCCACCAGACGGACAACCCCTGGATGTCCCTGAGCTAGTTTGAGCAGTTTAATCTCGTTGCTTGCATCTATTCGTCGGCTGATAATTTTCACGGCATAACTCTCGCCGCTCTGCTTATCAGTGCATCGCCGACAGACGGAGTAACTTCCGTCGCCGAGAATCTTCTCCTTAAAATCAATCTCGTATTTGTAGAAAAACTCCGATTTTCGTATCTTCATCCCAACAAGGTTTGATATACTGGGACGTTTATCCGGAGAAGGTTTAAATATATCTTCGCTCACAAGGTTCTCGGAGAAAAGAACGGAAGGAGCGACGTAAGAATATCCTTTGAAAACCATTTCTACATTAGGTGGGGTGATGGCTGGACTGTCAGCAGCTCTCATGTTTGTGAACTCCTCGGAGAAGTTGGATACATCGTACTCATTGCTAATCTTTGGAATAAAAGGAGCAGGAATGTTTTTCTTCAACAGATCGTCCCAGCTAATATTTCGGAACCAAGGATGCGCCTTAATCTCTTCCGCGTCAGTCACTCCGCCACCCATCCGCCGGCTGGGGTCCTTAATCAGTAGTCGGAGGATAAAATCCCGAACATCACCGCATAGCCAGTCCGGCATTGGAGGTTCAGTTCTGAGGATACGTTTGCTGATATCTTGTTGGCTGTTCTTCTCTCCGTCAATGGTGAAGGGTGAAGCCCCAGTTAGGAGTTCATAGCAGAGTACTCCTATACTCCACCAGTCAACAGCCTGAAATATTTAAAATAGACAATATACAATATACAATATAGATAAATGTATATGATTTTTTTTTATTGGAAAACACATGATGAAAAGAGGAAAATATCTACATGTAAAGAAACAAAACAAAAATCAGATAATAACTGAAAAAGCGTTACAAAGTTCCCTGGACGCCTAGCTTGAAATGTTAGATATATTTATACATATATAGATAGATATATATGAAAACTAAATAGTTTATATAGATAATAAAGATACAGGATGTGTTTAAACTGTCACAATTTAACACATTGTCTAAAACAGACCGATAAGCTCCTCTAGGATTACATAAAAATATCTTCAAATTATAAAAAAATATGTCGTCACAGTTTTAAAAAGCTGTTGTTTGTTAAAACTAAAAGAGGGTGAACCTCCATCACAATATAAAACACCCCCCCCCCCCCCGAGCCCCTCCCCTCCATGATATATTTTACATAAAATATTTGTCATTCCTGACAAACAATCAAGGTCAAAGTTTTAACATTTAAATTGGTTTAACCTAAATCTAGGTTGAACCTGAAACGAAGGAAATGTCAACAAGAAGAATGGAAAGTTACATAAAAACCACATACTAAGGGATTAAAGATAAAACAGAAAAAAAATGTAAAAAATCAATTAGAATAAAAATTGTAAAATGCAAAGATAGTTTTAAAGGAACTGTATAGGGGCGGACACAGGGGGGGGGGGCGTCATGAGATTTCGGGATAGCTTATCAATAGCAATTAAGGAAAGAAAACCTAGTTGAAAACAGGAAAAATATATATCTTAAAATAATTTTTGTCTTTTTGATCCTAAATCTGCATTTTTTTGTTCCGAAATAAATTTAGCACCCCCATCACTTAAATCCTGTATCCGCCCTTGTGGAGAGCCAATAAAATTTCAGGCGACCTTTTGTTCAAATGTTACACTTTAACGGAACAGAGTCTTTGCCGCAAACTCAAATTTTATAACCACTATATATTCGCAACCTGATGGCGAAGATATTTGATATTTCAAAATTAAAATAATTGATTTATATCAAAGGTATACGACATTGGGTTGCAAAGATTTTGTGGCAAAAACTCAATTCCTCTATAACTGAATATTAAAAACTCAATTCCTCTATAACTGAATATTAAAAACGATGAGAAAGAATTGGGCAATGGCATGCACTTTTTACTTTTATCACTTGAAAAAACGTCAATAGTATTTTTAACAAAAAAAGCCAACTTACCACATTGTGACCGTGGTTTCCTCCCATGACCACCTCTGGAGCCATATACTCGATAGTACCACAGAAAGAGTAGGCACGACGCTCCTTTTCTAACGGAGAAAATTCCCTAAACATAGAGAGTTAAACAGATAAATAGATAGTTAGATAAATAGATATTTTCATATTTTTTATTCAAATACAAAGCATGAGATAGATAGATAGATAGATTCGAACTCTTCTAAGCAGTTTGCAGCCTTGGCTAAATTAATGCCAAATCAAGAAAAAAAACATTGAAAAACAAAATTTGAATATTTGAACAAAGAAACAAAGAACAAGAAAGAAAGAGGGAGAAAAAGGCAACTAATGTTTCATCAAAATGTATATTTATTTGTTTATCAAAATATAAAGAAAAAATGGATCGACTTAATAATGAATTCTACTTTTTATAGAATGAATTGTGCTTTTTCTATATTAACTACGTGCTTTATTATATTCAATGTATGTTTTCATTTTGAGAAAACACCTTTCCTTTCAGACTTATATAAGTTCTAGACATGAATATCATAAAAATAAGAAGTCTTTAAAGTGATCAGAAAGGAATTAAGTCTGTGGTACAAGCTCGAATTTTCTAATCCCTATATATTTGCAACCTAGATTATTTGATATTACAGAATTTATGGTTTGATATATCTAAGGTCTACAACATTGGTTTGCAAAGATGAATTAGAAACTCAGAGTTTGTGGTAAAGACTCAATTTCTTTACAAATATTTGATATAAAAGTATGTCAGAATGAAGCTCAGATAAGTTCCAACGACGACGACAAAATATACTTTAAACGTCCTATCTAAAATTAAAAAAAAACTTTTTACAAATCTTTAATTTTTTAAAACTCTATATCAAACAGAAACCACTTAAATACTCATTAATCCTTGCTAAGCAATTTGAATTTAAAGTAAATCATGATTTTTATAAACATTATTAAAAGTTTTTCTTGAAAAGAAAATACTGTACCTAGAAAGTCCAAAGTCTGTAAGTGCAATATGTCCTCCAGAATCCAGCAATATATTCTCTAACTTTATATCTCGATAAATAATCCCGTTCTGGAATAAAAACAAAAATTATAAAATGCAAAAATCAATAAACGATGAGATTCAATATTATTATAAAAACTAGCAGGGGTTGAAACTTTTGTATGAGATTAATTTTAAGCGGATGATCTCTTTATATTTACAGCTGAAACTTTTGATTTAAAAGCGGTTAGGTGCTTAATCCAGAATTGGTCCAACGTTTTCAGCATCTTTAGAAATATCGAAAAGGAATCAATTCAATCCGTCCGGAACAAAAAAGATATGGATGAACTATTAAAATTCCGACCTAATTAGTATCAATCAACAAAGTACAAAAAAGTTCAATATTTTTTTTGGTTTAAAAGGATGGAGGGGGGTAAGTATTTAACGTATGTAAGTGCTCCAAATATTGGAAAATGGGAGGGAAGGTTAAATGTTCACCTTATGTAAGTGCTCCAAAGGATGGAAAAAGGGGAGGATAAATGTTCACCTTATGTAAGTGCTCCAAAGGATAGAAAAGGGGAGGGGAGAGTAAATGTTCATCTTATGTAAGTGCTCCAAAGGATGGAACAAGGGGAGGGTAAATGTTCATCTTATGTAAGTGCTCCAAAGGATAGAAAAGGGGAGGGGAGGGTAAATGTTCATCTTATGTAAGTGCTCCAAAGGATAGAAAAGGGGAGGGTAAATGTTCATCTTATGTAAGTGCTCCAAAGGATGGAACAAGGGGAGGGTAAATTTTCACCTTATGTAAGTGCTCCAAAGCTAAAACTATCTCTGCAATATATATTCTGACTTCTGACTCCTTGAACTTCTCTCGTTGGTAAAGATGAGTAAAAAGTTCACCTCCACTCACATAGTCTAACAAAAAACATTTGAAAATAATTAAAACTCGAATTAAAAAAAAATAATAACTGCAGACTTAATAAAAAATTATCGTACTCTTTTTTAAAAAAGTAACTACTCACCACAAACTTTAATTTAGAATTCTTTATTTTCTTTCTGAATTGGTGTAAACCTTTGTAATTTCAAATTTTGCCTACTATGAAACAAAGTTAAGAACGCTTTTAAAAACTAAACATTCTTTCGGGAGACAAGGGTATTTGCGTTTAAAGATTAAATATGCGTACCTAGTACAAGATGTAGTTTAGCTGGAGTCTGGAATGCGTAATGCATTGTGACTAGGAAAGGAGATTGACGCACAGTTTCCAAAACCTAGAATGATAAATTTTGAAAATAAAATAATGATGGTCAACTCACTGCTTACTTGACAAAAGCTTATGTCAAATTTATGCGATATTACTGCTGCGACTTTGTGACCTTCAGGTTACAAATTGTTAGAATTTTTAAATTTGTTTAGTTCTTCTCAATAGCTCTGCATGAGGAGCTACAGGGTGTCCCACGAAACATGACAGTTGGTAAATAGTTTTAAAGGTCTTCATCCTTAATTTATGACGTTATTTTATACCAAAGAGAATGATAAAGAATATCATATGGCATAAAGTATAAAGAAGACATTTCGAAAAATGCTTGATATTATAGTAACATCTATTTTAAAGTAATTAAATTGGAATTTAAGATCTTTTTTGGCGAAATAAACTGCAATAAATCTTTAATATCTGATACAGTATCTGGAAAACGAAATTCAAAAATATTTACCAACTGTCATGTTTCATGGGATACCCTGTAAAATTAAAAACATAAAATATTTCAATCTTAGTTTGGAATGTAGATTAGTTTCATGTGTAAAATTGAAAAACAAAAAATAAAAGTACGGAATAAATAAATTATTAAATAAAAATTAATAAATTATTAAATCAAACCTGTCGTTCTGTTTTGGTATGTTCGGTCGTCTTCTTCTTCTGAACAATGTTAGACTTTTTCAGCACCTTCATCGCGTAAAGCTGACCGCGGTCAGGACCGCGAACTTTTCGAACCATGAACACCTTCCCGTACGCTGAAAATAAACATTTTTGGGCTTAATTATTAAAAAAAGGACACAAAACTCGAAATTAGTTGTGCATTTTAGATAAGGAACTAAATACCTTATAAATTTTAAATCAGATCTCGTAGACCTTCGATATTTCAAACTGTGAATGCTGCTAAATTAAATTCTTTAAGTTTGAAATATCAAAGGTTTACACCATCAGGTTAAAAAGATATAGAGATTAGAAAATTACAGTTCCTTCTATACTCAAGCATGTTTGATTTATAAGATATTAGTATTGTTAGAATAATGGATATAACATTGAAGTTGAATGTATTGTATGAACTCATGGGTGTAACAGTTGTTATCCAGTACTTTGCTCACGTGTTTTAGAAACCTCACAACTTAATTTTTTTATTTTTCATTTAAAGAGATATCTTGATTTTTGTTTCTAATACTGTCGCGGAATGTCTAAGTTCAGATTAGCGGATTTTGACACCAAGAAGATGTAAAAAAAATGGCCGACATTTTGTCTTATAGTTGAGCAAATAAACAAATTAAGTTTATTGATGCTAATGAAAATCGTTGATGGCACTCTTATATTAAAGGGACTATAAGTGTAATTTAAAGTGACCCTGCATGCAAATATGGCATTGTTCAATTAACAACAGTACCCTTAAAAGCTTTGTCTGATCAAGTATAAATTATACATCAATGTTTCTAATTTTAAAATCTTTTTTTTTTCAATTGTGGTTTCTCTTAAAAAATGACGCATTTTTACAGGAGGAAACGCATAAAGTAATTTTCATGTTTTAACACCTTTATAAAACGACGATATCTTCCACGTATTAATCAGATTAGGGTTTTAAGGGTATCGTTATAAAACGGGCAATGCCATCTTTGTACGCAGGGTCACTTAAACTTACGCGTACAGTCCCTTTATAGGATTAAATTACGTTGACAATTCCTTTATAATATACAGTTTTAACTCTCATATAATTCATATAATAAGAGGCCTGCTGCAATTAAAGCTAAACATATCTGGCCNCATTTCAATTTCGAATTTTTTAAACTGTTAAATAAACTTTATAATGAATTAGGTGAATAAAAACATCATTTGATTTATAGTTATAACGGAAAATCATCGTTTGTAAAGTGGAAGGCATGAGTCTATGTGAAATGATCATTGGTCAATTATGAAACCAGCCTATTTCACAATTTGGTTTTCTTTTAACAATAATTTTAGATTTTCTATAAAATGATATTCCAGGGCCCAACAGTTTATATAGCAAGTACACCTGCAGTATGGAAACAGTACAACAAAATGGCCGTTTTACACTTTTTTCTAGTAAATTCCTCTCTATATATTCTATTCTCTATGGTAATGAAATATTCAATGTGTACATTAATTATTTAATTTTTACCAACTTTTTTCCTCGTTTTCTTGCAACATTGAAAAAAATACAATTTTCTTATAATTTATAAAATTATAAAAATAAATCCATCATTACTAATAGAAGGGATGAACACTATATTTCCCTATATATAAACTCCATCCTTAAACCATAAACTCCATCCTTAAACAATAAACGTTATCTTGAAACAATAAACTCCATTCTGAAACCATAAACTCCATCGCAAGGTTCCCGAATGTTGCAACAAATGCAAAAACAAGTTTTGGTTACGTTGCTAAAATTCTGCTCATCCGACAGCCCTGCCTCTCAATACAGGCACTGTACAAGAATTAGGATAGACGCGGCAATAAGAGACAGACAAAAAAATATTCTTAACTTTGAAACATTTTAGAGAAAAAATAGTTTTAAAAACCGTAATTGAAGATAGATAGATAAACAGACAGGCGTACATACAGATAGACAGATAGATATTATATAGATAGATAGATAGATAGATATATATTAGATAGATAGATAGATTAATATATAGATGGTTAAATACGCCTATGCGGAAGAGCTTGAACGTTGCACACATTTGTACACAGTAGAGATCTTAAAGTTCTTCCAAAAATATCCAATTCTGCGCATTTTTATCAGCAGATAAACAGATTAACATCAGCAGACAAACAGATTAACATCAGCAGATAAACAGATTAATATCAGCAGATAAACTAAAAATTTCAAAACAAAGAATCTGTTTTCAGTCTTGCAGTAAAATTAAGTTAGGAATTTAAAAAAAGGTTTAAAACTACAAATTTAGCTAACTCTGAAATATTGCTAAATTTTTGCACATCACTTGCATTCAGTGCAGTCAGTCTGCAATGGGAAGATGCAATTTTGTCTCGACTGGGAAGACGTTTTCTAGATATTAAATTTGCAACAGTTTTGAAAATCGATCCCAAACTGCTCATGCACTCAAAACAAATTATAATATCTGCACATCCGCAAAGATTCTGCAATAAAGATAATTCGTGCAATGAAATATAGAGATCGTATTTACTTTGTAGGTACAATGTTACCCACAATCACAAAGGATGAGACTTCAGAGACGACTTTACGAAATTTATACTGTCTTTTTCCATAAATTCCTGATTCCTTCAAACTGTAAACTTGTTTCTTTCTTTGTCTAATCATCAAACCAACCTTTACAAAACTATACCCAAGACAGAAGGCTTAATTTATCGTCTTATTTTAAGAGTTTTAGATCGCCTTTACAGTCTCATCCATTGAGGGCAACCCTTCACCTAGCAGATATGCAGCGCGCAGTGAAATGTACTGTACATGTACAGTGTACTACATAGTACACACAAACAGTAAAGAGTAATGTACAGTATAAAATTATACAATTGCGTGGTAGCAATTAGCAACCAATTCCTTCTCTTAGTTCCGAGATTGTTCAGCTAATAAACCTCCCCCTGCCCCTCCCTCCCTCCTCGCCCCCTCCCTTCTCCTAGCCGACCTTGAGGAGGCCCGCCTCAACCCTTTTTAGCCTCATACTCCCTTCTCATACTCTGGCCTCCACCAAAATGGCATTTGATGCTTTTTATATCCTGGTAAGAATATATTTTACCAGATAACTGATTAAAGTAATATATGGTTAAATTATCAATTTATTTCTAATGAATGTATAAATCAATTAAATTATTAGTCGTAAATTAATTCATTTATTTATGATTAATAAATAAATAAATTAATGATTAAATTGAATCTTTGCGACAAACTCAGATTTTTATATACTTATATCTTTGCAAACTCGACGCCGTAAACCTTCGATGTTTCAAAACAAAAAGTCTAAGAATAAAAATTCGAAGGTTAAAACCATCAAGTTGAAAAGATATAAAGTTCCTTTATGAATATTGAAATTACCTCCAGTGCCAAGTACTTTCAGAATATCAAAATCCTTCATTGAAACTCCAAACTTCTTTCCACTGCATTCAGTCGCGGAACAATCTGAAATAAATCATTTTTAATAAAAAACTAAAAAACTAAATGTTTGTTAACTAGGCCAATGTTTATGCTAAATTATATAATTAATATAATGTAAGCTGAACTAGGTTACATGATCTATAAAGATTATTTTAACGAATAAGGTTCAATGATTCTTTTCTAGAACTGGGCCAATGCCAAACAAACTTTTCCTTTCTTTATTCAATACAAGAATACCACAGATACAAAAAGTTAGTAGAATTAATGGTATTACCAGGGGGGGGGGAGGCTCTACCAACCTCACAAATATTTTTACAATTCACCCTGTTAAAAAAGTTAATAAATTGTTGGTATAAATTAAACATATCTTTAGAAACTTAAAAAATTAATCTCTATAAAAATTATAAATATATTAATAGAAGTGAATTGAACGTAAAAAATATATTGTTTGAATGATATAATGAATTGTTCGAACAGAATAAATATACATGTTTTGTTTGTATCTCATCGACTGCTTTCTACAAAGCTAAATTATACAATGTATACTTTTCTATTTAAAAAAAGTAACATTTACATATGCATGTCACAGCTTTGTGGGTCCTTAAATAAAGGATCCCTTGTTCTACTTTTTCAAGAAAAAAGTAAATTTAAAAAATATTTTTTTTTTAATCGTGAAAAAAACCAAAACAAAAATCACGTGAACAAAGAATCCTAATGTTTAAAGAAGAATTGAAAACTTTAAGAATCTGTTTTCTCGTCACGTGTATTTACTCTTTTCTCTCGGCGGACATGTTTTTACTGTCAAGATTCTATTTCTATGATTCCTATTTCTAATTTTAGATCTGCAGATCTTAGAATCTCTAAAAATAATTCTCTATCGTCAAGGCTAGGTAAAGCAAAATTTAGAGCAAATCTGAGATTCAAGAAATAGAGAATACACGAAAGTAATCTTTTTTAAAAAAATTTTCAATCTTTTTCTTCTTTCCTTCCTTCCTTTATTTTCTAGTCTTTTAAACAATCATTATTTCTCTCTGACTGCAATCCATTAAACAAACTGTATGCTCTGTCTGTTATGCAATGAACGCTTGGTTCAGGCAGTATTCTTAAATCTGTGTATCCTTTTTTAGATCCTTTCCCCTCGAACCATCTCTGATCTTTAATTATTCTCACGGCTTTACTCCTGAACTCTCAAGGTTAGATCTAATCCGTCAATCTTTTAACATATAACTCAATAAGATACGTTTAAACTCTAAACACACAAAAAATGACTTAAGCGGAACCATAAAAATGTAGAATAGGAAGACGACTTTTAGACCCAAAGAACATGAAACACAGCACAGGCTTATTTCACAAAGTAAGTACTGATACTTTAAAACAACATCAAATGCAACAAGATTGCTTAAATGTTGGCTGTAGGTTCCACTTTATGATAAAAAATATCCTGTCCTCCCCCTCCCCCTCCCCCTCNCCACCCCTAACCGGCCTCTCTGCACTCAATGCATAACAACACAATCCTTCTGATATCTCAACAGCTGCCGATCAGCTGAATGATCTCAAAATTCGATCATAATGATCAAACAAATGTTAACCTTTCATCCCCCGCCTAACCCAATTATCTTAACAAATTTTAATGCAAATGTTTAAACATTAATTACAAAAATAATGAAATTGTTTACTTTTTAATTTTTCATAATTAAAGAATGATGAAGCAACAAGAAAGCAGCAATCAAATATCTGACCGAAAAGGGTAAAATTGGAATTTAAAAATAAAGTGTGAAAAAAAGATTAAGAAAATAAAGAGACCCAAACATATAAAAATGAGATTATCAAGCTCTAGGTTTAAGGACTAGTTCAGCGGAGTAATCTGATATTAGATTGATTAGTGTGTATAGTGTGTACACAACAAACTATAGGGGTTGCAAATATATCATTCCTTAAACTTGGTTAATCATAATATTTCTGGACGAAGAGAATTATTTAGAACTTCCAAATGAATAAAATGAATGAGTAAAAATTTCAGTTTTCAAGTACATCTTTTATCATTTAACGACTGACAATTCATGGTTGAAAAATTATATATTTTTTTCTTAAGATCAATATCTTTTATTTCAAGTCGTATATCCTTGAAGTATATTAAACACTATCTATCTATCTATTTATCTATATATCTGTCTAAACTGTATCTATTTATCTATCTATATGCTGTATCTATCTATCTATCTAGCTGGATTCAAGGCTATCACAGCTGATTTGAATTTTGCAACTTTTCGCTCTGCACTCTGCAGTTCTGTAAAACTTAAATGCAAAGTACAACAGAACTAAACTAAACCTTTCTTTTGTTTGCAAAATCTTAGAATAAATAAAAGAAAATTCAAAAGAAATTTATTCCATCCTGAAACCATAAACTCCATCCATAAACTTCATTTGTAAACTCGAGCCTTCATCTTAAAATCCTAAACTCTTTTTTTTGAAACCAAAACTCCATCTTAAAACCATAAACTTCATCCTTAAACCATAAATTCCATCATTAAACCATAAACTCCATCCTTAAACCATAAACTCCATCGTAAAACCATAAACTCTATCTTGAAACCATAAACTCCATCCTTAAATCATAAACTCCATCTTAAAACCATAAACTCTATCTTGAAACCATAAACGCCATCTTGAAACCATAAACTCCATCCTAAAACCATAAACTCTATCTTAAAGCCGTAAACTTCATCTTGAAACTAAAACTCCATCCTTAAGCCATAAACTCCATCCTTAAACAATAAACGTTATCTTGAAACAATAAACTCCATTCTGAAACCATAAACTCCATCCTAAAACCATAAACTTCATCCCCATCCTTAAACCATAAACTTCATCCTTTGCCCATAGAATCCACCCTAAAATCTTTAACTCCATTCTTAAACCACGATCTTGAAACCTTAAACTCCACCTTTAAACCTTAAACTCCATCCTTAAACCATAAACTCCATCCTAAAATCATAAACTCTATCCGAAATAAAAAAATTCATCCTCAAACCATAAACTTCATCATTGAACCATAAAATCCATCATTAAACCATAAACTCCATTATTCAACCATAAACTCCATCGTTAAACCATAAACTCCATCCTTAAACAATAAACGTTATCTTATAACAATAAACTCCACTCTTAAACCACCACCTTGAAACCCTAAACTCCATCTTTAAACCTTAAACTCCATCCTTAAACCCTAAACTCCATCCTAAAATCATAAACTCTATCCGAAATCATAAACTTCATCATTGAACCATAAAATCCATCATTAAACCATAAACTTCATCATTAAACCATAAACTCCATCCTAAAACCCTAAACTTTATCCTTAAACCGTAAACTCCAGCTTGAAGCAAAAACTCCATTCTTGATCCATAAACTTCATCCTTAAACCATAAACTCCATTCTGTAACCACAAACTTCATCCTGATAAAAAACTCAGCCTGAAAGCTAAATATCCATCCGGAATTAGGAATCTATCAAAAAAATCTTTTCTCAGAAAACTCCGGGTTAAAACGCTGCCTATAGAGCAGACAATCCCTGAACCCTGGATCCTTGACTTGGAATGATACTGGTACTCCAAACTAGGACTAGGAGACTGGGCGGGGATGAGGAAAGATTCTGTTGGCCTTGATTCATCACCAATCAGTAATTGTACACAAACTTGAACAGACACCCACGTTTTCTCCTTTATTGTACAATACAAAAACAATACTGTATACTGTACAGTGTACGTGTCGTGCAGTGTACAGTTCAGTTTCCTGTACTACATCAAAATAGAACACCATTACACATTGCAGAGATACAAAATTCTAAGATTCAAAATTAAAAAATACTTCTGAAAAAACGAGGAAAAAAATTGAAAAAAAAAAAAATTTTGAAAAAGGTTTGAAGAATGTTGCATTCTCTTTAGAATAATATGGTAACATTTTAGGTATAAAAAGGAAAAAAATTCTTAAGGAACTAATCTCCTGATCGAAGACTTGTTTGTCGATGTCACATAAAGATATATAGATATATAGATAGATAGATAGATAGATAGACAAATATCAGTGTGAAAGATAAAAAGGTTTAAAAAAATTATAAGTTTATCCATTATATACAAGGAAAATATTTGTTATGTTTTTTAAATTTTATTTTTTAATCTTGCATAGCTTGTTTTTGTTGATATTCAAGGTTGTAAATAGAAAATTTTTAATTTTTCAACATATTATGCAAGATTCAGTTTTCAATCTATTATATATATAGAGCTACGGATGACCTAATTTCCACTGTACTAATATCATTCTCAGCACTACCAGATTCCCAAACAACAAAATTACAAATTAATGGCATCCATTTTATGCAAACAAACATGCTGCCGCAGTACAGCAAATAAATATCAAATCAAGATTTGAATTCCTAAGACTGGTTTTTTAGAAAAGTGACGGCGTTGACATTTTTACAGGTTGAATCCAAACATATTCGTGACCCACTGCACCCTAACATAATTTCCCAAACTTTCGCCGGAGCGCAGCATGCCGCGCCGTCAACTCAGGCAAACCAGCGCCATCTTGAATTTCTCCAGATTTTCTCTCTGCACACTTGCATGGTTTCGGCCTAGTTTCCATCAGATGATAGATAGATAGATCTTCAGGGCCGGAAAAATAACATTCCAGAATGAATTAAACGCGAAGAAGATCTTAGTCAATTTGTTTGTTCAAAGGTTTTCTCTAATCTAAAAACTTCATCATCTCTGGCATTTTTAAAACATGATTAAAATGTAATATTTACAAAAACATGTCAATGAATATTAGAATTTACAAATGGAACGCTAAAAAGAGGGTGCATAAGTTAATTTCAGATATTTCTTTTAGTTTATTTTAAAAAAGCGTCATAAGCAAACAAACAAAAAACATTATTTACAATCTACCAATATAAACCAACCAACTTCCTAGGTATCAGTAAATAAAAATAATATCAGAGCTTTTAGTTGAAAATAAAAATGGCAATAC